CGCGGCTGGCGGGGGGGCGATCCCAGCGGCCATCGGACCCCCGCGAACAGGCCGACCTTCCCTCGTAAATCATCTTTGAACTGAGCCCCTTGCCCAGGAGCCCCCCTCATTCGTCCTCGGCCTCCACGACGAAGAGGCTCACATCCACCTCCGGGATGTTGGTTCGGGCATCAGGCATCAGGCTGGAAGGCATGCCCAAGATTGCCCAAATAAAGTTTGGAACTTCTTCCTTGCTTGGCTTCAACCTTGCCAGGAGCTACCGCCCCACCCTGCGCCTGTTGTCTGCGACGGGCACGTCGATGTTCATGTCGGCGACGCAGACGTTGCGAGCGACACGCGCACCGGCTTCGCGGCAAACCCGCGCAACGGCGCGCTCAAGTGGCCCTGCGCGCGCGGCGAGCACGCCGCTGGTAGCGCACGCGGCACGGTGGTCCCCGAAAGTTGTCTAGGGGAGTGGGTTCCGTACTTCCTCTTTTGTTTTTCTCCGCGCCTTTTTCCAACGTCCCACGCGAAGCGGTCCCAGTGCACACCTAGTGGCCTAGGGAGGGGAGGAGTCAGCGAGGATGTCGCTGAGCAACGGGGCCTCGCCATCAACATTGGCCGTGCCGGAGAGAGGCTAGCTGCGAAGGCGCGGGCGGCCGCGAATGACAGCAAGGCCGACCAGCGCGAGGCATAGGCGGAAATGCCAGCCCCGCGGGAGGAGGCAGGGAGGGCCCGAGCACTAAGGCGCGCAAGAAGACGGACAAAGGTCGCGGCCTCGGCGCTCCAACGGCCGCCGAGCTCAAAGGCGAGGACGACCAGCTTGCACCTTGCAGACTGCCGGAGCTCAGGGTAGGTGCGTTCCTTCGCCTTGCATGCATGTGAAAGTGCAGCCCCTGCTGTGCGTCCGCCGGCCCTCCGGGGGGCGCTTGCCGATGTCAGCGGGGAGACCAGCGTGGTGTCGACCGCGAGCTGTGAGCCACCCCAGAGCGCCAACCATCGCCAACCCATTTGCGATGACCTCGATGCGACGTTCGTCTTGTCGGGCGACGTCGACATTCAGGTCCCGCAGCCGGACGTTGAGAGCAACCGTGGCTCCGGCCTCTCGGCAGACGCGGGCCGCAGCACGCTCGAGTGGCCCACCCCGGGAGCGAAGGATGCCGGACCGAGGACACGCTGCAATGTGGTCCCCCAAAGGGTCATGTAGTTGCCGGCAGCGCGCAGCGGTGAGGGGCAGCGGCGTTGTGAACACGCTCGCTGCGTGGTCCAACATGGCCAGGCTGGCGGCATCGAGCTCTCTGCGGATGGCACGCTGGCCAAACGAAGGGGCCTCGAAGCCTACAGCTTGCAGGGACGCCGTGGCTTTTTGCAGGGCAGCCAGGGCGGGGGGCAAAGGGCCTGGGCCGTCGAGGGAGAGCGCCAGCGTTTGAGCGAACGCAGGGTCGGGCGGGCGAGGGCTGGCAGCGCGTCGGCCCAAGATGCCCAGTAAGCCGCAACTGCATGGTACTCAGCGCGACGGAGGCCCAGCCCACCATGCCACAGCGCGAGCTGTGCCCGTACGGCGGCAAGCGCCGGCAAGAAGTATCCAAGCACGCGAGGACAGCTTCATCGTGCCCAGCTGCGTATGCTCGCGTGCTCACGGGAGGCAAGGTGCGAAGCGCGTACTGCGCGCGGGGGGCGGCACAGTAACAACAACAGCCAGGCAACCTGCGTGTCGGCCAGGAGTGGAAGGCGGTCGAGGAGGACCCTTTGCTTGGCGAGCAATGCGGCCAAGTGTGCGGCGACAAACTCTGGTGCGCCTAAGGGTACGCCAAGTGCAACAATTCCACACTGGCCCGATGCGAGGGCCTGGTCGCCAACCCAAACCTCGCTGTTGGGGGCGAGCGACTGGACACCCTCTGGATAAGCCCCTCCGCTATTCCACACGCGGGTCTTGGCGGGGTTGAGTCGGAGCTGGGCACGCCGCAGGGCATGAGCCTCCAAGCGGCACGCGGTGGGGCGGGGCCAAGATGTACGCATCATCGAGGTATGCCATGGCTTGCTCGTCGGGGCCGAGGTCTGCTTGCAGGTCGCGGATAGCGGGGGCAAACGCCAACGCGTAAAGTGCCACCTTGTTCGCCGCCCTCAGCTTGAGTGATGCGGTGGGTCAGCGGACCTGCAGCCCACACATACACAGACTCGCGGGCATACCATAAGCGCACGAAGGGTAGCAGGGCCGAGGCTTGTGGCACCTCGCGCAAGGCCGCTAGCATGGACTCCCGGCTAACGGTGTCATAAGCTGCCGAGATGTCAACCGAGAGAACCGTGAGGTGGGGGTCAGCCTGGGTTTTGGCCTGCAACGTGTGCACGAGCGCTTCCGCTCCAGTCCGAGTGGACAATGCGTACTGGTGTGGGCGGCAGGCGGAATCGAGCTGCTGCGAGAACTGCTGAGCGAGGGTGCGGGCCACAACCGCAGCAGGTCACCCACAACCAGCCCACGGGAGCCCCCGAAGGTTTGCGAACGGCGATCATCCGCCCTAAAGCAATGGCAGCGACAACCTGCTCGTTTGCGAAAATCCCGCAAACATCTGAGCAGCAGGAGTCCTGAAACAACCGACTTGCGGTCAGCAACTACAGAAAAGTGAAACAAATCATGTGTATAGACAGAATGGGCCACGTCAGCAGCATGCGTCCTGGTACAAAAAATAGGTAAGTAAGTAAGCAAACATCAGTTGTTTTTTTTTTCCGCTCCTTTTTGCGTCCGCAGTCAGGGTCGGTCCACGGGTCCCCTTCGGGGGCCCGGGGGAGGGACCTAGGCCCGGCTGGGCAGACGGCTTGGTGTTGGGACCTGGGAGGTCAGCCAGAACCTCGTGCAAGGCTGGGGGTGTGCCAGCAGCACAGGGCTCAGACGGGGCGGGGAGCTGGAGGAAGGTAGCCGCAAGCGCGCTCTGCGCAGCGATGGAGATGACGCCACTCCACCGGAGGACCCACGCAGCCTGGGTGCCCGCCGCCCGCGCACGAGCAAGGAGGCGAAGGAAGGTGGCAGCCTCAGAGTCCCAACGCGCCCGGACTTCAAGCAGCAGCGCTCGGGACGCAGGTGAAAGATCAGCAAGGTGCGTCTCAATCGCGCGCTCATCGCAAGCGTGGGCGGCCCCACGCTGCCAGCCCCGGAGGGTTCCGGCTGGTTCGTCGTTGCGGGAAAACGGACCAGGCGGGGCAGAGTGCGCGTCATCCCACGCCGGCACCGCATAGCCCTTTTGCTTTTTGCTTTTGCCCGTTCGAGTCAAGCTACGGTCCTATAAGGACATGGGACAGGTTGCTGGAAAAGCGCTCGCGAACTACAGGTATTTACATTTCCACTTTGAACATTTCTATGTACTCAGCTTTTTTGAGCTTCCAACGCTCAACATCACACGCAGCATCAATCCAGCTCACATAGTTTGGGAAGCATTGGGCAGCAAACTTTGACAGTCGATCATCCCATTTTGCACGGGGCCGGCCCACAATTCTAGTGGGTCGTGTTGTCGTATTCGCTGACCACCGAGTTCTGGGATCCCATTTGCAAACCAAGCTCGGCCATTGACTTCTCGTCACGGTTGCCGCAAAGTTGTACTGCCTAGACAGCAATTGCTGATCCCACGCAGTGACAGGGTGCTGTTGGAGGGCGGAGGCGACCCGTTGATTCATGCGCGTCATGGTGTCAGACCATGGTTCACCATCCACCCGTCGCCAACCAACAATAGAACGTAGCATACGCCTTTGCAAGATATTGAGGTCATGAAGTTGCTTCTGGGTCAGAGGCAGCGCGTGCAAGCTGAACAGCACAGTGGGAGTAATCACAGCATCGAAATACTTCAGCCGATTACGAACTGCAATATGTTTGTTCTGCAGAACGTGCTTGTGTTTCATGAACTTCCCCCAAGCCACTTGTGAACGGTGAGCGACTTCGACAGCTGCCCTTTTTGTAACATTTCCGGATAGGGAGCGCCCCAGATATTTGTGCGTCTTGCCTTCGAACAACACTTCCAGCAAATCGTCATCAACTTCAATGTACATTGGTAATTCGAGAGACAGCGTTGTGAATATCTTGGTTTTGTCTGCATTCAATTCCAAGCCAATTTTGCACAGCTCTTGCTTCAAGAACGTGATCATTGTGGTAAGTTCACTACAAGACTTCGCATACAGCAGAAGATCGTCAGCAAAACGAATGTTTGTCAATCGCACTGCAGTTCCAACATCCCACCCATGATGACTGAGACGCTGCTTCCATTTATCCAACGCATATTCCAAGGCAACGTTGAAGAGGAGAGGGCTGAGAACATCACCTTGCTTGACCCCACGCCGTATATGAAATGGCCGACCATCTCTGACAGCGCCCGTTTGTGACGTGTATAAGGATCTCAGCAAAGAAACGTATGCACCAGGCATGCCAGCCGCATCCAACGCTGCAAAAAGTGACTCGTGATTAACTCGATCGAAGGCTTTGCGTAAATCAAGACTTGCACACCACAATGCGCATCCCCATTCCGCACACTTCCCGAGCATTGAATCAAGCACCACTAACGCGTGTTCCACCCCTGTACAAGGACGGAAGCCCATTTGGTCTGGTGACAGTGTGGGTTCCATCAAAGGAGCCAAGCGTCCCAATAGTAGCTTGGAAAAAATTTTGTACGTAATTTTGAGGACCGCAATCGGACGCCAGTTCTGTACCAAAGACTTGTCGCCCGCTTTAGGCAGCATGGTAAAAACGGTATTTTTCCATGACTGCTCCACATAACCGGTCGATAGCACCTTGTTGTACAAACCCAACAAGCACGTCAATAGGTTATCACTTGCAAACGAAAACATCTCCAGCACCAGCCCATCGCAATCTGCGGCCTTGCCATGCCGCAAGTTCTTGATCGCTTGTTTCAGCTCATGAAGGTGGAATGGTGGCACGACATCATGCGAGCCCACATGCGGATCTTGCATTTCCATGCGGTCAGGCGTGAAAATGTCCTCCAAATACTTTGTAAATTCATGTGGCGATGGACCCTCCCTGGTGTTTTTTACTGCTTTGCAAGGGTTGTGGTAAACATCCTCAATCCGATTCAAACAACGAAATTCCGAAAGAATGTCATTCACCCGGCGATTTCTTCTGTCTCTCATATGCCTGCGAAGATGAGCACGTATCTGTTTGGAAAGCCGAGCACGACCCTCTCTGTCCCTGCACTGCCGACGTTGAGCAAGCAAGTCCTGAAAATCCTGACGTTGCCAAGGCTTCACATCGGCCAAATCACGCTGTGCAGTTTGTTGGCTCGCAAGTTTAGCACAACGCGCGACGCAAGATTCAAGCTCATACATGTTGACCAGCGCCGACTGTTGAAGACAGGTGTCCAAGTTTATCTGATACCTGCGCTTTTCTGCGACAGACGGTGACCAGCGTTGCTTGCGTGCGACTGGCTTGCGTCCTTGGAGGCTACGCGGCCCGGTCACCTCAAGGGCCGCACGTACCGCTCGATGATCGGACCCCAAATCCAGCAAGTCAGTTGCTCCACCATGCGTAACGTCAAAACCAGTACTACAAAGCACAAAATCCAAACGACGTCGTACCCCCATTGAACTGCAAAACGTCCAACTGTCATGTTCTTGCTCTGCATTTGCGATGACCATGCTGAACATGTGAGCTGTCTGCATGAGCAAGTCTCCGCGCGGACCAACATGTAGCTGAGTGTTGAAATCGCCTCCGACAACATATGCTATGTTCCTTTTTCGCGCGCCTTCTAGTACGCAGTGCAGAGAATCATACGTTTGCATCAAGTCTTCCGTCGGATATCCTGCATGTGGCATGTAAACCGATACCATGCGAAATGTGAGCCCATTGATGCGCAAGTCCACATACATCACACGCTCATCAACTGTTTGCACTCGCTGAACTGCTGCCACATGTTTTGAATGCACAAGTATCGCCACACCTGCACAAGCCGTCGGACGTTGAGATGAAAACAAGCGATGGCCACCTTCTAAATCAACAGCCTCACTGGATCGTCTGGTCTCGGAAAAGAGCAAAACATCCCAAGCATTGATCTGCACCAATTCTCCCAATAATTCTGATATCTTGTCTGCTGAATGTAATCTGGCATTTTTGGCAAAAACAACCACCTCACGCGAACGCTCTTCTGAAAATTTGTTCTGTACATGTACTTGAAGTGTTGGAGTTGCACCCACCGAAAACTCGGGCTCGGCACCCGATGAAAATGTAGGATGTTGTGAAAATCGACTCGAACGGAGATGTCCCTACTGGGCCTGTCGGCCCTTGCTCTTGCCCTGGCCCTTGGCTTGTTTCTGAAGGGTTCGCGCGGAACGCACGAGAAGCTCCTGTAACTCGGAGCTTTCTTGAAATTCTGTCCAATCTGCCCATGTGTCCGCCCATGTGCATTGTAAAGAATCATCTTTGTTGGTCACCCTCACAACCAACAAGGAGCCGATGTGCATGGTGTTGAAGTCATCATCAATCTTGATTTCTTGCTTGACGAATCCCCACTGGATCAACTGCCATCTCAAACCCATGAGAAAGAGCTTCCTTGCTCGAATTGGGACCGGCAAGTCCTGAGTCGCCCATACATTGTCTGACCCCATGTTCATGTTCGCACTTCGGATCAGTGCAACAGCCATGTCCCTTTCACCGACAGAGGAAAACTTGGCCCACAACAAGCCCAACCACTCCTTGGATTTGCTGTACGTCCCCACATGTTTCGGCCCACTCATCCTTGCAAGTGTGTCATTCAACCACGTGGTTGCTGCGTGCAACCCATCCAGTGATTGTAAGCCGCCGACAACCATCGTACAAGTGGTATCTCGCGACACCGAGCTCGAGTCCACACGCAAACTCGAAATTTGCGCCTGCAAATCTGCGAGTTGTTGTTCAATTTTACCACTTACATCTGATGCGCAAGAACGCGGTGTGGGATTTCTCGAGTCCAGCCATTGTTCCATTTTTTCAAGACGACCGGCATGATTTTTCAATTGCTTCTCGATGCCCTCCACTCGACTTCTGACATCATTTTGCAGGCTGGTCAGCTTGGTATCCACGCTGGACAATCCTGTCTGAACCTCATGACGCACAATGTCAGCTATGGTGCGGGCAGACACTTGCACATGCATATCTTCATCTGACGGTGGGTCAAGATTCTCGACACCGTCCATCTCACGTAATGGGGATCGTGTGGCCTCTCTCTTCACACCCTTTGCAGGCGGAGTCATTGTTGTCTTCATGTTGCACACAACTATTGCGTCGCGTGGAAACCCCCCCCTCAGGCCCGCTTGAGCCACTTTGGCTTGATAGCCCTGTCCAGCAAAATACGCTGCGGCTTGTGCGGCGGCGAGTATGGAGGGCAAGGGGGCCTCCTGCTCCTGCGCGCGGAGGGAAAGCAGCAAACGGTTAGCTGCCGAAGGCAAGCGCGCCTGGATGACGGGGAGGCTGTCCATCCAGGAGGCCCAGTACGCAGCATGGCGGTCCGCCGTGGCCTCTCGCAAGCCCAAGCCACCAAAGCGTAGTGGCAAGTGTGCCGCTCGCTCCGACTGGGGAGGCAGCATTGCGTCCGCATGGCCCAGGAGCGTGGCGAGGCAGCGAGTCACAGCGGAGTCGTGAGAGGCAGCATACTCGGCCGTCGCGGCTGGCGGCAGAGCGCGCAGGAGGTAGTTGGCCCGCGGGGCGGCGCAGCAGTGCAGCAGCAGCCAGGCAGCCTGCAAGTCCTTGACGAGCGGGATTCGTTGGAGCAGGCGATCGTGCTCCTCGCGCTTCTGCGCGAGCCGCAGACGCACGTATGCGTCGCTGCCTAAAGGGGTGCCAAGGACCGTGAGCCCTTGCTGCTGTGGCGGGAGCGCCCAGTCCCCAACCCAGATTGCGGCGTCAGCGTTCCCGTGCAACACTGACAGCCCAGGCGGTTCCTCGCCTGCCGCGTTCCAGACACGCGTCTTGCGACTGTTGAGTTCAACACGTGAATGCACCCACAAGGCGCGTCTGTACGCCTCGTAGAGTTCGTGTATCCGCTCCGGCAGGGCGATAATATACGTGTCGTCGAGGTACGCGAAGATCGCCTCGCCATCCCGCAGCTTTTCCTGCACCTCCTGGAGCGCCGGGCGCTGTGCCAGCGAGTACAGCGCTGGCATGAGCGGGTCTCCCTGTTCGCCACCCTCGCCCTGCGCGATGGTTGCACGCGGGTCGACCTCCGTGGCAGCCCGCCGGACACGCGGAAGGGCCTCACTGCCGGCTGGCGCAGGCGGACGTGCCGGACGCAGCCCTGGCGGCCATTCGGGTTGGCAGAATTGTCGCTTTACAAAAGCCGGATGGACGGGGCATTCGCGCGCTCGTTGTCGGAGATGTCCTTCGCCGTTTGGTCGGGAGGACCCTCGCGCAGGCCTTCGCCCCGCACCTTGAGCGTGCGTGCCTCCCTCACCAATACGGGCTAAGCACGCGAGACGTTGCGCGGCGCAGTGGAGAAGTTGGCTATCGACCTCGTCATCCAGCAGGATGCGGAGGTGCTCAGCAGTGGCGCCGGAGGGTCCCGCAGCAGCGCCACGCCTTGCGGTTCGCAGGCTAGCAAGGAACGCTGGCAAAGAAAGGGGGCACGGCTCACGTGGGGCAAAGTTAGCAATCTCGGACGGCATGGGGTCGTACGGCTCGGGTGGACGCCGCTGAGGATCCCGGAGTTCTGCGAGGGTGGCGTCGGTGGCGGGCGCAAGCGGCTCAGCAACCAGGGCGCGGCCCGCAGCTGAGAGCTCGCCGAGATGGACCAGAGCCGCAGCGCGTGCCGCCCGAGCCTCGGGATCAGGAGCAACATTTCGGGCCGCCTCATGCGGAGAAGCGGCAGTGCGCGAGGCAGCCTGGAGGAGGACGGGCCACTCGCCACGTGCGAAAGCTTCGCAACGGCACACAAGCTCGCCCGGCGCTACGCGCGTCGCACCGGCTGTGCGATGTAAGAGCATGCGCGGGGCAAGAAGGAAGAGTTTCCAGCCCCGGAGCTCCAATTGAGGCGATGTGCGTTCCGATATCAATTCCAGGCCTGCTCGCATGGCCGTGCGGAGGGCGCCTCGCAAGGAGCGTGAGGAAGCGGCTCCTGAGGGTTGCCTCGAGGTCGATGCCGTCCAGAGAGGCGAGGCCAACACGCAAACCCTCTTCCGGCGCAACGCGGCGGTGCCGCTCGGGATCGCGTCAGCAGGCGCATCGGCGGCACATGGCTCAGACGCACACTCAACCTCGGCATCTGCCCCGCGCCCGCGCCCCCCACGTCGACCTCGACCGCGGCCGCGGGTCTGTGAACCGGCCGCGCGCGCGGCGACGCGAGCCAGAGTGGCATCCTCTGCGCGGGAATCCTCGGCTTCAGGCCCAGGCAGAGCACGGCTACCTGCCGAGGGCTCCGTGCGGCTGGGGACATGACTGGGCTCGGTGGCCGCATCACGGCTGGCACCGGCAGCGCTTTGCTCAGGCCCGGCACGATCGTGCCGCTCCTTTTTTTTTTTTTTTTCGCGGACCTTTTTCCCGGCAATCCAGAGTCCCGGCCGTCAGTGCCTACCTGGTCCTACAGAGTACGGAGGCGCTCCTGCCGGGGACACTAGTGAGGCCCCTGGCGGCTGCCCATGACCGGGAGCTGCCAGCGCACGTCTGCAAGCACTTCGTGCAGCTCCGGCGCCTTTCCGGCGACGTTGCACTCTCCCACGAGCGGGAGTTCCAACAAGGACGCGGCGATGGCGCGCTGGGCGGCGACGGCGTGGCCGCCAGAACGTCCGACGCACGTTGCCCGGCGAGCAGCCGGAGCCAAGTGGCCGCCTCTGCGCCGAACCGGCCCCCAACCTCCACTCCGACGACCACCAAACGGCAGCGGCGAGCGCGCACGAGCTCGGGGTAGGCTTGGCGGCGTTTGCGTCGGGCGGCGCAATCCACAGCCCGACCGGGATGCACATCAGCTCCGGGCTGGGCGTCGCCCGCCCGCGTCGCGGGGCTGACGATGGTGGCATCAACAGCTTGCTGCGCACGACTTCGATGCGGCGGTCATCCGAGACCGGGACATCGATGTTCATGTCAGCCAGGCGAACGTTGCGGGCTACACCCTCGCCACTGCCCGCTCGAGAGGGAGGGCTCGAGATGCGAGCACACCGGAAGTCGCACACGCAGCCCTGTGGTCGCCGAGGGGGTCCAGGCGACCTCGGCAGGCGCACGTGCGCGGTGCGACAGGCAGCGGCAGGCGAAGCCGTCGCAGCAGCAAGACGCGGAAGAGCGGTGGTGGCACCGTCAACTCTGCTGAGGTAGGGAAGACTGTGAAGGCATGCGCAGCGTGTGGCCCGGCCTGTGACAGCAGCAGCGCTCGAGATGCGGCATCAGTGTGAGAAAGATGCAAATCAAGCGCGCGCTCGTCACTGGCGAGGGCAGCACGATGCTGCCAGCCTCGCAAAAATTCCCCAAACTCGCGTTCTTCCTGCCCTGGCCGTGCCTGCAGCAGCGCATCCCACGCGGGAGCGTCGTAGCCCTGCTCGCGGAGGCTGGCGGCTGCGTGACGCGCTGCTGTGAGCGGCGGCACGGTCTCGGTGGAGGACTGCAGTGCGCGCACCAAACGATCGGCTGCCAGCGGCGCCCGGGCTCGAATGGTCGGCAAGCAGTCCGCCCAGGAGGCCCAGTAGGCGGCGGGAGCGGCGTCGACGGCCGAGCGCACCACTAGCGCACCCCCAGGCCCCCAAACCGCAAAGGGAGGTGCACGAGGCGCTGCGTGGGCTGAGGCAGTGCCTGCGTGGGCAGGGAGTCCTGCGACAGCAGGGCCGCTAGGCATGCGCACACCGCAGCGTCGTGTTCGCGCGCAAAAGCCTCAGTCGCACCAGGCGGGAGCATCCGAAGCAAGCAGTTTGCACGCGGGGAGGCGCAGAAGAGCAGGAGGAGCCACGCGCACTGCAGGTCCCCAACGGCAGGCAGGCGGGCAAGCAGTTGGTCCTGGGTCTCCCGTTTGCGGCGCAGTTCCCGTCGCACAAAAGCTTCGCTGCCGAGCGGCGCTCCCAGCACCAGTAACCCTTGCTGGTCTGCCGGCAAGGACCAGGCACCCGTCCAGACTGGCTCGGCACCCACCGGCTGGAGACGGGCCAGGCCGGCAGGCTCCTCACCGCCGGCATTCCATACGCGGGTCTTGCCTCGATTCAAGCGTACGCGCGCATGGCGCCACAGCGCATCCTCCAGGGCGCTGTGCAGCGCATCGGTGCGCTCCGGTGCTGACACGACATAGTTGTCGTCCAAGAACGCGAAGATGGCCTCACTCTCTTGCAGCCCTGCCGCTGCCTCGCTCAAAGCGGGGTGCTGCGCCAGGGAGAAGAGCGCCGGCATTAGCGGGTCCCCTTGCTCGCCTCCGTCGCCTTGCGTCACGTCGTGTTCGGCGCCGGTCTCGTCGAGCCAGGTGTAGACGCTGGCACTGCCATAAAACTGGCGAGCAAAAGGCAGCAGTGGGGCGAGGGCCGGGCGGGACCGGAGCCCTTCCAGCATGGCTTGGCGCGACACATGGTCGAAGGCCCCGACAGCATCAATGGACAGCACTGTAGCGCGGGCGTCCAGGGCCGTGGCCGTGTGGAGGAGCTTGTAGAGGCCCTCCGTGCCTGCCCGCGTGCTCAAACCAAACTGGTACGGGAGGCAAGCTTCCTGGAAAGCGGCAGCAAAGTGTTGCGCCAGCGCGCGGGCGACCAAACGCCTGAAAACATCACCCACAACCAGTGCCCGGACGCGGCCAGTCTGCCCTGCAGGTCTGGTCCCCGTCGCCGCGCGGAGCAGCTGCAGCCACTCTCCCTGTCGGAAGTAGGCGCATCGCTGCTCCAGCTCGCTCGCCGGAACGGAATTCTGCCCTGCGGCACGGTGCAGCAGCATCCGGGGCGCGAGGAAGAAGAGCTTCCAGCCGCTGGCGGCTACAGCGGGTTCCCTTGCGTCGAGCGCGGCGCTCAAACCGGTGCGGAGAGCGTAGCGCAGCGTGCCACGCAGTTTGCGCGGAGCCCCTTGCAGCGTGAGCGCCCGACGGCGAAGCTCCGCGGGGAGGTCGACCATGGTCGACCTCTTGAAGCTGCGCGAGGCCACGTCGCACCCCTGCTTCAATGCCGGCAACCCGTTGCTCCCCTTGCGTGGGAGCTGGAGGCCCAACTGGAGAATCGAGCGCTTCGCCAGCTGCATGCGTGTGGGCCTCAGCCGAAACATTGGGGGCCGGCACACGCCCACCGCTTCCTCGGCGCCCACGGCCTCGGTTTTGCCCGTGGCCACGGGCAGCCGCTGGGGGCGCAGGTGCAGGCTCCGTGGCCTCCTCAGTGCGGGCCCGGTGCGGGGCAGTGGCCCCACCGTGACTGGACCCCCTGCGCTGTGTGGTTTGTTCCCGGCCTCGGGCCACAGAAGCAGCATTAGCGAGAGCGGCATCAGCGGGGATGCGACCTGCGCATGCCGTTGCCCTGCCCACTCGCGGAAGCGAAGCAGTGAAGGAGAGAGGAGTACAGGTGGCCCAAACGCCCGCCCGACATGAGCAACCGCCTGAGAAAGCTCCTGCACGGGCAGAAACGGGCGCGCGAGCAGTGCCTCAACGGTGCGCTGCCACCACTCCCCAATGACCGGATGCATGCGCCATGCACGGCGCGCAGAATCTGAGAACAAGCCCGCAGCATCCAGCAATACACCCAAAGTTGGTGCCAGCAATGAGGTGGAGCGGCGGAGGCGCAGCATCAACATACTGGACGACGGCTTGCGGGAGAGCGGGCTCGGGTGTGGGGACCGCCCGTGACGCGGGCAAGGGGGGCTCCGGTCCCAATGCAAGGGGCCTGACCTGGTGCGCAAGAGCAGACCAGCCACCAAACGGCCCACACGACCGTCGGATTACGCGACCAGAACCTTTTCCGCTGCGGACGCTGCGGAGCCCGCGGAGCCACGCAACTTGCGGGCCGTTTGTTGCCGCCGCCTGGCGGGACCCGCGCTAGGCTTCGTCGACTCCCGGATGCCAGCATGCACTGGGCCCCCCTGCCCCACCGCAATGACGTGGGCATCGTCTCGTGGGCATTGTCTCATGGACTCCGCCGTGGCTTTGCATGCGCTGCCAAAACGTGCTGCCGGTTGTGTGCGTCCAGACGCCGGGGCCTCCCCCGCCATGCCTCCGTTGCTCGACCCCCATGCTGTGGGAGGTCAACCTGGCTTCGCACGTAGAGCGCTGGGCCAAACCAACCTTAAACCCTAAACAACGGACTAAACCCTAAACCCTAAACCTTAAACACTAAACCCCACGTTGGGGGGCGGCGCTTAAGCCCTTCGACCTCGATGGCGCAAGCTGTGGCTGACCTTTTCGGGGGTGCAGCCGGGTAGAGGTCGATGCCAAGCGCTTCACACCTCGTCCGCAGGCCCGGGTCCCGGGGGAGGTGGTCTATGGCAGCACGGCAGGTCGGGCAGCTGCGTGAGGCACACCGGGCACGCGGCCCTGCCGGGGGGCGCAACATCAGTACGAAAAAGCATCACGACGCCGCTGCTGAGAGCAGCAAGAAGAAAACATATATACAACGGAGTGATGGTACAACAGCCGCGTCAAGGCTCTAAGACTCTAAGCCCTCAAGCAAAGATCGCTGCGCTCGGCAGACGCTTGCAACGAAGAGCGACACGGGCAATCGTAGATGAACGCGTGTTGCCCATCTCCTGCGGCGCAAAGACGAGCCGCAAAAGGCTGTCCCTCTGGGTCGCGGTCCTCGTGCGCCGCGGCGTTTCTCTTTTGGCATAGGCCCCGATAAGACAGCTGTTCTTGCTGTCGGTTGTAGGTCTCGTGACTTTCGGTTTGTGCTTCAGGGCTCCGTTGTCCCTGTCGTCCATGAGTATCGCTACTTGGGTGTCATTTTCCATGCTTCCAAAAGGTGGAACAAGCAAACCGACAGGTTGATCTTTAAAAGCACCCGCAAATTCCACCAATGCATTGCCTGGGCAGGAAGCCGTGGTTTGCACACGAGTTTTCGGCGCTTGCTGTGTTGGCCAGCAGGCGCACCCAAGGCCGCCGTTTTGGGCGAACTCGGTTGGGACCCATTCGCGGTGCAAGTCCTGCGTGGGCAAGCCAGTTTGCTTGGTCACCTTTCTTCGGCCACCCCTGGTGGCATGCACCGTGGTCTTGCTGCTCGGGTCTTTCGCTACGCTGTTGGCGTGCCAAGTTTTTGGGCGGCTGGAGCTTCTCGAGCCTTGAATTCGGCAGGCGTGACGTTGCCTCATGAATTTGGCTTGGGTCCCGATAGCAACCTCCGCGTTTTGCAGCGTTGGAGGCATCGTTGTGTACGCCCAGTCCTCGACCGCGTCGGTTGGCGTGCGCGCCAGGTTGCGGCATCTGAACTTGCATCGCTGGCCACCTTCATCCAGTGTCATCCTGTCTTGGATTTTTCACAAAATGTTCATGCTTCTCGGCTGCCATCGGCTGCCATCCTCGGCGGTCAGGGAATGGACATTGGCTAGGTGTGGCCACCATCCCTTCTTGGATGACCGTGCTGCCCATCACCGTGGCAACCATCCACGCCTCTGCGGGTGCGATGATTTGGAGCCTACTTCATGCCTTGTGCGTGTGCCCTCTTTTTTCGCCCTGGAGGCGCATAAGGGTGCAACGGTTGCCAACTCTTAGCTGCAACTGGGATGTACTGTCTGACGACACCAGGACAAGCTGCACGAACGGCGGCCGAAATACCATCAAAAAGGATGTTAAACAGAAGGGGGCCAAGCACGCTGCCTTGGCGGACGCCGGCCCGTTCATCCCATGGCTCAGACAACGTGCCATTAACCAGTACTCTCGCACTGGTTGCACCGAGAAGGTCATCCAAAACCCGCCACGTGGAGCCTGTGACACCGATAGCAGCGAGCTGGACGCGGACGGCATCTCTCCATGCTACATCGAACGCTTTGCGCACATCAACAAAAGCACAGAAGGCGCGTTTGCGGGCACGGAGGCGCAGCGTTTCGACGAGGGTATAGATTTGTTCCTCGGCGCCCCACCTGAAGCCAGCTTGGCTCTCATCAATGCGCGGGTTCACATGCGGGAGGAGACCTTTCAAAGACCTCGAGGCCGCAACAGAGCAGGCTGATGGGCCGGTAATTGGCGAACTCATCTTCAGCGCCAGTTTTGTGCAGCGGCATGACAACCGCAGAGCGCCATACTGACGGCACCACCGCCCTGCAGCGCACAGGTTCAAAGAAAGAAAGGAGTGCGTTGCGCATAGTACCGTCGTCAATCCGATAGAGTTCGTATGTCAGGCCGTCCGAGCCAGGGGCACGGTTTGCGGGCAGCTGTTGCAAGACCTGCAGGAGTTCAGGCTCACTAAGAAGGAAATCGAAGCGACTGGCAGTGGCATACATTTGACGGCGCAAACGACGGACATCTGTCTCCAGGTCAGGCGAGCTTGCAGAAACGGAGCCCGCGGAGACAGGCACGTCGCGAAAATGGCAACGCCAAGCTTCAATACATGCTGCACCCTCAACAGCGCCACCATGTGGAGAGGATGAACGCATGTTAGCAGATAGCGGGCGCCGAGAGGGCCCAAACTGCCGACGAATATTACGCGCTGCTGAGGCACGTTCTTGCGCCTGAAGCCAACTATGCCAGTACAAGGCTTTCTTTTTGCGAACCAAATAATGAAACGCACGACGCATGGAGCTGTATGCATCACGCGCTTGAGCCGTGCCTTCCCGGCACCACGAACGCCAAGCAGCATTCCTGCGAACCATCATATTATAGCACTCGTCGTCCCACCTGGGGCTGATGACGGGAAGCACGAGCCACCTGGGGGCGAGCCGCGTCCCAAAACATGTGAACAAACTCTCCATGCAGGACATCGAGAATTGCACGGCTAGCTTAGCTTCGGAGGAAAACGTGTTAGCGTCGCGATGGAGTTCTGACAATTTAGCTGTCCACGCCAACAGGCGAGGACGCAAGGCTTGCACAATGGGTAACCAGTTGCGAACACGCGGCCAGCGGGGAGAGGCAGTATCGTCAGCAACTGTGGACGACAACGCGATCTGAAAAGTGATGAGCCTGTGATCACTACCTAAAGCCGGGCAACAAGCATTGGGTGAACATGCACAAGTGGAGCCGTCGTGCACAACCAGGTTACGAATAGGCAAATCCCGCGATGCAATCAGTACACGCAGCTGCGACTCTCCAGACCTTTCACGGCCGCAGCCCATGACTTCAGACAGATACACGTTCGAATCGCCAGCCAAAACCAGGCGTGCACGGGGGTGGGAATGAAGCGCTTCTTGAATGGAAGCTCGCAACTGTGTCCAGAAATGAATACGCTCAAGCAAAGGCATGCCCACATGCGGCGCATAAAAACTGCAGATCAGGATGGGGATGCTGTCAACACCGCCTGGCGCCACACATCTCCAACGGAAGCGAGCGCAAGTGGCATCACGAAGCGGGACAGGCCAAGAAGTGTCCCCATGGCTCACCAGAAATCCAGCCTCACAACCTCCACAACCGTGGGGCCCATCATACGAAAAGGGCTGGGCAAGTGCTCGGAACCATCTGCCAACCACAGTCTGTTGGCATTCAAGACAGCCAAGCTCAAGACGCTCGGCTCTCGCCGCGCTGGCGACGACGAGAACCGTGGCCGTTTCCCGAGAGGTCAGCACTTGCATATGACCGAAGGCAGTTGACCGATTCACGAATTTGCGCAGGCAAACTCACAACATCAACAGGGAGGTTCGCACACATGTCAGATAAATAGCGCTGCAACGGTCCAGAGGCGCCGTTTGATTTCGACTGAGGGGTGGAATTGCGCAGCTCCGTGGCCACTGATCCGGCTGCAAGCTGGACCGGGCGTTCAGGTTCGTACGCCAAAAGTTCGGCCGGTATGGGTGAGCGTGGCTGCAGAGGTCGCCCGGGGTCGGTCAACACGCGCCATGTGGCCGCCGTGCCAGGCGCACTTTTGCGCGCGCCTGGTCCCAAGCGCACTTTTGCGTGCGCCTGGTCTCGCTTACGCCCGGAAACCTCGTCGGGCGGGAGCTCCGGTTTGTGGGCCGAAGAACACTGCCGGGACAGCCTAGCACTGCGGATGCGCTGGCTCCATTCGCCATGTTGGTAGGAGCAGCTTTGTTGCGCCGCCCACGTAAGCAGCATGCGTGGCACGAGCAGGAACAGTTTCCGGGCCCGGGCCCGCGCCGCTCGAGCCGAACCGACCTTGGCTGCGGGGCAAGATGCGGCGGCCGCGCGGAGCTCGCTGAGCGCTTGCATGAAAACCATTGAAAACCTGCCGCACCGCGGCGCATGAAGGGCGGCGTGTCCCGCAGTGTCGGCACCGGGTGTCGCAACTCCTCCGTTTTCAGCAGAGCCAGGAACCGCATGCTTGCACAATTGCTCGGCTCAGGCCGTTAGGCCCCCATAGCAAGCCGGCCCGTATTTTCGGCGCGCAACAGCGGCAGGCATCTCCGCAACGCCAACTGCCTGGCCTCTAAGGGCCAGGGTCAAGGCTGGCTCGCTGGTATGGCCGCAAGCTGCGTGGGGTCCGCTTGCGAACGCAGCATAGCCGGGGAGCTCGGCGACGGGGCCGGCAGCAACCCGCTCTTGCGATGGCGCGCTTAAAGAATCCGCGACGCGTGGAACTGCCAGCCGTGTGGCCAAACTCCGGGTCCTGCGGGATGCTTCGGTGAGTATTCCTTCAGCTGGGAGTTGAAATCGCCGTGAACGGGTGGTTTAACAGGCATAAGTCTTGGAAATGCTGCAGTAGATCTAGGATTACATGATACATAGTATGTTGTAGCACGTTTTCAGTTTGTCCTTTCTTTAGGAGCAATTCTATCTTCTCTGGAATACTGCTCGTGTCGCTCAAGACGTTGCCGGAGCGCCAGTTGCCGCTGGCGCTCCGGCAACGTCAGCCGCCGACACAAGGCGCCATCAACAAAACACAGCCTGCGCCCGCCGGGCCGAACACCGTGCTTGCAAGAAACGCAGCACGTCCTGCAGGGTGGGGACGCTGCGTCAACACAGGATGTCCGACGCAGCACAGCATTGCGCGCGACGCGATCAGCAAGGCCCCGTTGCCCCGACCGCCACGGCCACCGCCGAAGGCCCTGCACAAAGGCCGACTGTGTCGCGGTGTACCATCGTTATTGGCGCGCGCCGGGGCGGCCTGGCGCAAGGTAAGTTGTTGCGGGAGTAATTGTTCGAGCAACCTTCGCCGAGTACTGAAGAACACACAATGGGCCATCCGGCCTGTCATCTGTCAATTCTCGCGTGCAAAATGTTTCTTTCGAAAGCCTTCGACATTTGTCATTTCTGGAGCTTTCAGGCGGATGAACAAGCCGCACTGGTGATAAACCAACTTTAGCGACCTGCGGCCGTTTGAACCTGACGCGTCTCCACAGCAGCCGAAGCTTATGGGCCTACGCTGACGCATGCTGGCTCTTTGTCAAGAACTGATACCCAGCAGGATCCAGTACGGTTTCAATTGCTCCCACAATCTAGGATACGTGCTCGGGCTTGCCTTTCCATGCCCAAGTGTCTTTGTATTTACACGAGAACCGCACCTCATCAGCAGTCGCCACAGTTCAAGGGTTCTGTGTTGAAGGTCCGTGAGTTTGGGCTGGCATCTCAAGACCGCTCACCCCGCTCCTTTTCGGGCTCGCGTGCGGCTGTGGTGTCATCAGCACGGTGACCATCGACGGAGACGACTGCCGGTGGGTCGAGATCGACGGCGACAAACTGCAGCCAGGCTGTCCGTAGTGAACGTCTGGATCGCAAACTGAAAGGGCCGCCGTGCATGCCAAAGCCCGGGAGACGAGACGGCAAAGCACGGGGCCAAGCGTGGGCCGCGATATTCACCATGCTGGCAATCGCATGTCGGTGGCGCCAGACCAGCGGCTGACTTACAAGAGAGCTGCGCGCCGCATCGGCGACCTTCTCGTGGGCCACGATCGAAGAGAGGTGGTGAAGTGTTGCACGACGTTGTGTGAGTTCGGCAGGAATTCGCTACATGTCGCAACATCGCACTGGATTGTCTGATGCTTCTCTTTGTTTCCATGCTACGTAAGCAGATAAGAATGTGACAAACTCAATACACCTGGACTGTGGGAGCTCTCCTTTTGACACCTCAGCGGTTCCGACGCTTTGCCAGCCGAGCAAGCTTCGTTGGGAGCAGGCCCACCTGGGCAAGGCAGCAAGAGGGGCATAAGAACCAACATGTCAAACCCTCAAGCAGTCCAGATGCAAAGTGAAGCAGAGCCACAAAATCCTGAAACCATGATACACGATTGACGCTTCAAGCGGACGATTTTGGGGATCCGACCATCTCTGCACAAAGCTTCAGCTCCATGGCCATGTTCACATCTGCATCCACCACCTGGCACTGGGCTATAGAGTGACGAAAAAACAAATACCATACCGGGCGAAGCCCAAGGCCAACCCAAAAAAGAGCAGGAAACGGATGGTACAGAGCACTGGCCCCCATCCTTGCTGGTGCAGCGCCTCACGGTTGCGATCACCGTACTGGAGGATCTCTTCGTACTCTTGCAGTGCCAGTCTGTGCCTCAAGGTACGACTAAGGGCTTCTCAAGCTTCAACGAAGGTCTTCGCGCGTTGCAGCTAGCCTTTGATGCTCTGAAACTTTCCATCTGGTAAAAGAACCTATAAAAATCGCGTAGAGTCGATCAAGTCAAGTGTATTCTTCGGCATCAGCAGAGTTGTATGCAAGCTGACCATACTTTCTCACTTACCTGCAGATAACAGCTTCGCCTACAGTAAGCTTCGCACTCCTCGATGTCATCATCCACCGGGAGCCCTGCACTCACACCACAAACTAAGCCACCACAACAGCAGGACATCCTGCGGCTGTTGCTTGCTGCTTTGTTGCCCTGATATGTCAGCTCCAAATGTCTCTATCTTTGCATGCATCTCCTGCTTTTCGGACATGCTCGAAGCATGCCGCCTCTCATCTTTGTGCGAAGACGAGCCCGGTTCAGCTTCCCGATCAGGTACCTGAACCGTCTGCTTGGGCAGAGCTCAGCTTTTAAGCTTCAACGTAGGGACTACGTAGGGTGGGCACGTGCTGGTGTGGTCCTTCTCCACTTTCTCGGCAGTCTTCCCATCCTTCAGCACTAGAACTCCAACAAGCCGACAGTCTGGAAGCGGTTCGGGCGGGACGGCCCTGGAAATTTCTGTCTTTTGGGAAACCACTCCCCCCCATGATGCGCACGCTACATGGAGGCAGCGCACGCAAAGCGTTTCCAATCCTAAAGCCGCCGAGCCCGCCGCTTGCTGGTAGCTGTCAAGGAAAATGCCGTAGTGCTTGATGGCCTTCCGCGCCAGTTCGTTGCACCTGGTCAGCATTGATCAGAACCCGCAGGTCTCAGAGGCCCCTCGCCAAAGCGATTCACGCCTCGCTGCCTTCTTTACATCCACTGCCACATCGTCCTGCAGCACCGAACTTCTAAATCTTGAGGTCCAGCCAATATCCCTAAACCACCGCCCTTCTCAATCGTCACAAACCATGGCGCCTATCAGCCTATCAATATTGAATTTGATGACCTTTCACAATAGAGGCCACGGTGATGCGGGTTGCACGAATTGTTGTAGAGCAGACACTGCATACTCATGTTCTCTTAAAATATTTGCAGGGCTTGGTTGCCATCCTCGTCGTCGTCATCCAGGGAGTTGAGAGCTCGACTGCCGGGCCTCAAGATGTGGGGCGGAATCAAGGGGATATCAAGGGGTTCCAACACTGAAGGACATGCGGCGTGCGTATGCTAAGGAAGAAGCATCTTTCCCTTGCCTTTGAGTTCGAAAAGCTCCTGTCAGCAGAGGGGCAGGGGCATGAGCCAGAAAATGTTGCAACTTTCGGACCTGGTAGATTTCAGCAGATGTAAAGGACAGCTGACGCCAGAACCTTGGTGCTTGTCGTGGGTGCCAGAGCGCTATGTATCGACAGAGACTCACTTGCCGTGCAGTGAACCCCGCGTCACAGCCCTCATCCACTCCAACACAACGCTCTGAGGCGAACGACGCGACGTAGACCTTTGGACTGAGTTGCTCCAAAAGTGGGGCGAGGAGCGCGGCCTCAGCAATGCAGAAGGCTGCACTTCGTGCTGCAGAGTCTCAAGATGTCTGCGTGCAACAGTGCTCAGCAAACTCAGCAAACTCCAAAGAGGCCTTCAGCGAAATGCAGAAGGCTTTTTGTTGTCTACGCGACATAACTCCCAGGCAGCGCCTCCACTGCGCCGAGACTCTACACCAGGTTACCGTCTGAGGCACTACATTGTGCAGTCTCAGCTTCGGTTCGTACTTCAGAGTATGTCTGAAATTCCACTAGGCCGAGGCTGCTAACGGCATGACTCTTGTCAGAGGTGAAAGAGGATTCGAGACATCTACCTGGCAGGATTCTTTGGGAGATGCTCAGCTCCAAGGCGTCTTCCGAAGGTCCTGCCTCCATTCGGCCGAGCGCGCAACGCTGTGTCTCCTCCAGGGGTGACAAAATGGAAGCCTTTCTTTCATGCCAAAGCCCAGCGCAGCCCAGCGACAGTTCAACAATGACCATGCAGGTTTCGGTTTCTTTATGAGCTTGTGGGGCAGGGACGATGACGCTCAGAACCGAGGTGGCTCATTCGCGAGGATGTTACACGGGCATTATTGAATGGGTTTGCGTAGCTCGGGTATGTTTAGGCCGTGCCCTCATCGTCCATCCCATCTCGGCACCGAGTTGAGTATCTCCCGAACTTATCAGAGCTTCCTGGTCAAGAGGGGGAGGGGGGGCCGGTAAAAGTCGTTAGATGAAACAGTGTGCCTTAAATAGCCACACAAAAAGGAGGGCCTCGCATGCATCCCAAGTCGCAAGAGCAAAGCTCAGGGCATGCAGAACTTGAGACTTAAGATCCAAGGCACGCCCAACGGATGGCATGCAGAACTTCTTGGCTTCCAACCACCAGTCTGAAAGCCCTGATGGAGCAATGCCACCGCGGATACCCAAGTCTCAAGACCTCCTTAAACAGCCCAAGCCTCGATCTCTGGCCTGCAAGGAAACAGGCTGCACCTCCAAGTCTCGTTCCGGAACGTCGCTCGAGATGGAACTATAGAAATTCTGCCGTCTGCAGCTACCCTAAGACATGAACTCCCTGATGGAAACTGACTTAGAATCATCCCCGGATGACAAGTAAGAATGGATACTCGCAGCTAGAACTTAAGGACAACGAAGAACACGAAGCAAAACCTCCAAATGCGTAGGGTGCTTACGGAGTCCTGCCTCGGTGTACTCAGCGCAGCGGACGAAAGAGGACAAAGAAGAATAAAAGAATAACGAAGGCCAAAACAAAGACCACGAGAGACTACAGGAGATCTGTGCCCAACACATCAAGCTCATGCCGTGGATGCTGTAGGTTGTCACCTCAACCGCCACGGCCACTGCTGCACTCATCGGTGAGAAGACGTCGCGCACCGCGTGAGGCACGTCTCCGTGATCCAGCTGATGTAGACAAGACAGAAGCCGAAGCGTTTCGCGGGCCAAGGTGCGGACAAACTTAAACATCAAAAGCAAATATCCCAAACCTCGAGTTTGCGATTTCCCACACTGTTGAACCGTAGTGACTCCCGGATGCCTTACGCAAGACCCTCAACCCCCTGAAACAAGGGTGAACTTCATATGCAACTTCCGCATCCCGCTCCTCCTCTCGTCCAAGCTTTGCTTTCGCCCAGTAGACGTTGAGAGACAGCTCCAAGAAAACAGGCGGGTGTGCGTGGCTTTGCATCTTACTGACCTACCAATACGTGTGTTGATTAGCATGGCCTAAGACCCTTGCTGGTTCGAAAAGAAACCACAAACATGATGCACCCCCTGACATTCAAGAGATCTCAGCCTCTCAGCAATGTGCGCCGGACACAATGTCGACTGGACTTTAGATACTGCCTACTTGGCTATTCGAGTCAAGAAAGACGTGGAGAATTTCGGGGCTGGGTTATTGCACGTCTACCTTCTCCATTTCTCCCTTGAAACGTGCGAGAAGGGCTCCAAAATTTGTGAAAATCCAAGCATATCCCCAATTAAGCGTTCGTGTTTGGATTCTGGAAGCCCTTACAACGCTTGCTCCACGCATGGACATCTGGACTGTACTCTCAGGTGCACTTGATGCCAAAACTGTCAGGAGCACTCCAGACAGTCCCGTGGCTGCCAGGGCAGTTCAGCCTCAGCGTGCACAGCAGGAAATGTCGTGAGGAGGGTGCCGGCTGGCCTTACCCACCCGGAGGACAGCGGTGCCGAGGTGAACAGAAATGAACAGAAAAGCATTGCCGACCAAGCAACAGCGAATAGCATATGCTGCTCTCAGCAGTTTCCAATCACCAGCGGCACCCATCTATGACGGTGCAGTGCAAAAAGAAGACAGCGGAGTCATCAGAGAACCTGTCAAGGGAAGCGGCACCATCCTGGAAGTCAACCCCCTGGAGCCTCAAGACCCTGGCCGACACAATAAATCGTATGAAAGCTTGCTGCCCCGGGCCGCCCGGACCGACCAGAGTCCTCCTTTTCTGTCATCAGAAGCCAGAGCTTAGATGCGGAAATATCCTGGGTCCCTCCGACCTAAAGTTTTTTACATGCTTTTACACTGTGCTTACGCCGCGTTTGCCCAGTTCACCCTTCACCCTTCACCCTGGGTTCACGGGGACCGGCTGCAGTGAGGCGCCGCCTCAAGATTCGGAATGCCACTGTCAGACATCGAGATCCATCCTTGGATGATAGGCGCAAGGCCCATGCCGAGTGAGACCTAGAAACCAAGGGCGCAGCTGTCCCCCATAAAAGGGCCCCACCAACTTCTTAGTTTTTGTATGGTTCCTGCACCCTATAGGCCTATAGGCCCGCAAAAAGGCTTTACTTCAGGCTCCGCAGCTGAAATCATGAGAGGAAGGCCAAGAAGCCAGTCGCATTGGCACCCTGCAGCTTAGCCTTCAGTCGGGTGACCTTGCCCAGGCGGCTGCATCAGATTGAGGCGGCTTGGGGCTGAGGGCTTAAAGTTTCACTAATTAACAATGTTCAAAGCGTATTAAGGCAGCATGAAACGAAAGGAGGACCTCTTGCGACGCTCATTCACGATCACTTTGCTTTTCCCAATGCATTAGAAGTTCCTGCCACTCCGCGTACATCAGCCCCCAATCTGCACCCCTCCAAAGCTTGATGGCTTCCAATGGATCTAGGTTGAGGTCTTGCCACGAAATCCCCCCCCCCCCCCCGTGTCGGAGCTTCGGGAAGGAGTTGGAGGTTGAATGAGAAATTGCAGCATGGCTTGCCGTCATTTCCAAAGCTCCTCTGGTTAGGGCTTGGGGCTTGCAAGTCTCGGGCTAAACCCCCAACACAAAGGAAACGGAGCATCGACAACCACCTCCTCTGAGCATGCGGCCGCAGCTGGCGTGCCCTCTTTCACGCGCTGCCATGCGACGACCTGAGCCAAGGAGCTGTGTTCACAGGCATGCTCGCTGGAACGTAGGAGAGCGTACTCAGTATGGAGTCGGTGCGGAGTCGCCTCGATGATCTCCCCTTCCATGAGCTGCCTCACACCCTGTTCGCCCTCAAGGTCGTCCGGAAAGTCTGTTAGCCGAGAAGGCCGGATCACCTTCCGGGAAAAAGGTAAGAATCCCCTGTCGGTATATTGGTCGAGCAAAGCAAAAGGGGGGGAGGGAGGGCATATTATACTCGGGGGTTTGTCCTGCTGGGCTCAGCCTTCCTGCCAAAGCATTCCTAGCATCGCCGAACGCAACAAAATCGGGGAAAGACCCTTCCTCATCCAGTCGGACCCCGGCCTTGAAGAGGTTGCCTCCCGGCATGAGGAAGGTGATCCTGACACGATTTGTAAGAAGCTGTGCAAGTTCCGGGCTTCAGGATCACCAGTTCTTTTGAGGCGGGACATTATACGGGTTGAGGGGCTATCGCTGTGGAGGCGTCGTCGGATCCTTGTCCGACCGCGCGCTTAAGATGTAGAAATGGCTCCACTACAGATAAGCCCTGAACGAAACAGGAAAAGCCGGAAAAGCCATCAAAGCATGGCCAATTCAAGGGAGGATGCTTCCATCGGCTCGGCCTTGGGCGCTTTGAGGCGCCGTTTTGAGTCTTCGCCCCCAGCTGTGCTGCAACCCCATATCTTGACCCTCCTAGACCCAGACTCAAACAGGGAAACTTCCAGAATAAGCGTCCTCTTTCTGTTGTTTAATGTAGGCCGGTGCTTCATGGGCTTTGAAGGTCTGTTGGTCTGAGCGGGGGTCCCTTGGTTGCCAGCCACCGTGACCCAGCCAATGATGCCATCTCGAAGGGCTTTGCCATGAATCCGGTACACTCCCACAGATGGATCCAGCATCGGACCTGCCAGGGCTGCCAGTGGCATGAGAGAGCCACCTCTGTTCAGAACCGAGGACCAAAACGGAGGAAGGCACTGTGACAGAGGCGACTTCGATCTTTCGAGCCTTGGAAGACCTCCATCACTTCGCCAACGTCCATCCGTCTCAGCTGCTCACTCTGCTCGATCAGCAAGTTGTCAGAGAGCACAATCTCCTTCACCACCTCAGATGCTTGCAGCGTTCATGGTCTCATTACCATCTCCTGGTAGGCGTTGAGTCCACATTGCCTTGTAGAAGATCCGAATCACGTGCATAAAGTCCTCCTTGCCTGAAGCATGGACACCCACGACACACAGCAATCCCTGCTCTTGAAGGCCACTGACAAAAGCCGCTGAAGGCTGCTGAGGAGCTGATCTCGGGCGGGGTCTCCTCGGGGTTGCCATTCTCGCCCTCAGGGCGCTGTGCGTACTTGCTTCCTTTTGCCTCCCAACATCCTCCAAAGATTCGTTTTAAGCAAATGCCCTCGACAAACCTCTCGACTGCTTCCCAGCTTTCCAGCACTCCAAAACTCCGATCTCCCTAATTTACCTGGGCCTCCTTCGATTCGGAGGGTTCAGACTGCGAGGGAAACATCGCATCCAGGTGCGCATCCTCAATGACAGACCTGAGCGAACTCCAAAGCCCCTCCCCTTTCTGCAATAAGCAAGGGCGTAACACAACACACGCCCATCGACGACGGCCCATCAACGTCTCTTCGGCCCCAGCGAATTGGACTCCAGGTAGGCCTTGATGGCGGCTTTGGTGACTCTACCACTAGCCAACTTCACGGCTTCGTAGAGGTCGTCGGGCTGAAGCAGGGCAAAGCAGGCTCCAATGCAGAGTTCAAACTGCTTCCCGCTGCATATACCACATACCGTGGCCTTGCCTTTCCACCCTGCGTCTCGATGCACACCTAAACAATGATTGCTCGAACAGGGCGAAGGCAACTGTGGCCACAGAATGCCGTGGCATGACTCACAACTCTCAGCTGCCAGCTCGCAGTTTAGCAGCCACCTCCATGCGCAGGCCCTCGTACCTTGGCATCACGTGAAGATGTATCTCAGCCTCTTGCTTTGACTTGTCCTGATGCGCCCTGCTTATTGTATTTGCCTCTCATCGCTCTACCCGGTGACTCCGATTCAAGTTTACCTTCCTCCGAGATGCACACACGAGGCATTTGGACGGGCAATCTATTGGTAAGAGGGCGCCCGTTTGCTGCTGTGAAGGTTAAGGGTTTGCTTATTTGGGTCGTGATCGGGGTGTGAAGAACTCCAAGCTCATCCTTCCTCAAGCTCATCCAAGCCCCTGGCAGAGAAAAGGCACGGTGCAGCGCCAGCTGGCGAGCCTGGCCAGCCGAAGCCAGGGCCTTAGACCGCCAGGTCAGCGGTTTTTCTTTTTCACCATTCTTCTTCTCCTGCTTACAAGCCCTCCGCGCCCGCCACCCCCCACGGTCATGCGGTGAAGTCGGTTGGCGGTTGGGCGTAGCGGAGGTCTCCATGTCGACGATGTATGCGATGTGTCTGTCTCCCACCCCCCGGCAGTTTGGCCCCCCAACAGCATGGATCTCTCTCTCTCTCTCTCTTCCTTCCTTCCTTCCGCTGCACTTAACCCCCTAAAGGGGTCGCCCTGCCGGGCGTGCTCTAGTGGTTCAGCTGGTGAGAACACATGCCTCGGGTTGGGGTTGCTTCTCATGTGGAATGTCCCCCGCTGTAGTCCTGGGCATTCTGTCGTAGGAGGTGCAGTTTCCCCGAAGCACAACAACTGGACAAGTACAACCTTCCTGGAACAACTCCCAACACCCTCACGATGAGATCCCTCCACCTCTTTTAGTTCGGAGGAGTGGTGTGGTGGCCCCCAGTTCCTTTTACACAAACACAGCTACCCTAGCAACCCCATCACGAAATTCGAAACTGGTTCGGACCTTATGTTCAGTCTTTCGCTTTATACCGAGGATTTGTGGAACAGTTGGGCTGTGCACTGTTGGGGGAAGAGGGTCAAAGTGGATCCTAGACACAAGGCGACTGGTGGTGTGTAGGTCTACTGGCTCGTTATGTTGAGGGTAACTATGGTCAACAGCTTGCCATGTTTCGGGAAGGATATTACTAGGACTGTGAAAATGAAGAACAACTCCTTCAGCCAGATTGTGCCTGAGACCGCATGCTACTCCTTGTTTGATTTGCAGCGACTCCCCACCTTCATTTTCAGGGGTGTGGAACACAGCTGGCCATTCGACACGGTCATGGTACTAGTAGGGTATAAAGCTTACTGGGGTTCTGGTGTCTCTCTCTCTCTCTCTCTCTCTCTCTCTCTCTATTTATGAGACGGCTCGTCCACCCGCCCCTTGTCATGAGCACACATCCTAGTTGTGTCCTACATGCTCTTATCTCGTGGAGCCATGCGTCTGAGCTCTGACAAGAACTAAGACAGCGTTCTAGATCCCAACGCCCCGCTCGGGCGCGTGCCTTTCGAAGCGCCTGGTCTTGGCTCTCGGTCTTGGCTGCCAGTGCCTGCCATTCGATAGTTAGGATCCAGCACTTTCGACTGCAGCACAACGAAGTGCCACGAAACCAACGTTACCAGCGCGTTGAACCCTGCAACCCTCCATCTTGAGTAATCCTCCACAGAGCCCGGTGCCACCTCCCGCATGTCGCACTCCGTGACAGGGAAACCCTGACTATGAAAAGCAAGCGAATGCCAATTCGGATTCCTAGCGACATGATTTGGAAACTTAGCTCGCTTTGAAAGCCATGTTTGTAAACCAATCTGATTCGGACACTGTGCAACATTTTCTTCTTTGTGAGCGGAAGCTTTATTTCTGATTTTGGCTTCTGCGTCCGAGAAAGTTCCCTCGCGTGCCGGCAAAGCCGCTTACGCTCGGCCGAATGACTTTTTGAGTTTTGAAGCCCTCCTACATCCATGCCCAACAAAATGTTCCATCGAGATGATGAAGTTAGCCTCTTTCTTGTCCAGTTCGTTCATTGGCTCACACATTCACTCATTCATTCCTGTACTCACTTATATCCAGCCAATGAGCAACGAGAACGGCCCCCAAGAACCAAGAATCAGTTTCCCAGAGTTCTATTGGGGGTCATCAGATGGTTCTCTAAATGATGGCTCTTTCTGGGGCGTAGACCAGGAATTGACAATCAGAGAGCCTGTACCAGTCGCTTACACAGTTGATTTGACTGAGAATTTGGGGGTCAGTGTCTGATGTTGGGTAGTGAACACGTGGAATGGGGTATGAGAGGGGTCTCAAGATGTGACAAAGAGAGGGAGAGAGACAACAACAAACAACAAAGCACAATAAGATGAGGAAGAAAGCCAAGCGAGGGCGGAAATAGTACCACCCCAAATTGCAAGTCTTCAACGTCAAAGCCAAGCTTAGACACTAAGCCCCTTTCCAAACCCTGACACGCCGGACTCGAAGCCCAAGCAGGCCAGTGTCACCGCCAGCTCGGGTGCCATGTGCTCTACCATCTCTTGGTCCTGTGCACATGGTGTGGACTTATGAAGCCGTAACCACGTCGGAATAATCGGAATAGTCAGGTTGATCCTTACCTCTGCGTGTGCCAAGAGAATTAAAGGAGACTCTGTATAGGCACTTGAGCCCAACTCCAGTGCCCCGCTCCAGTCCTCGGCGACCTTTGCACTCAGCTCTTGCGCCTTCAGCTGCACTGCAGCGATCGCACTGTGCCTCAAAGCTCCAAGCGCCAAACATACACACCAGCAGTGAGAAAAGCGCGCGACGGATTTGCAAAGCTTGCAACAAAAGCCTTTTTCAGCCCGGAACGTGGCTTGGACCGCCGTCTCGATGACCTGTAGCCTCTGCTTGGCTTCCTCAGCCTGGCTGTCAGAGGCATCGGAACAGCCTTCGGAATCCCATGGAATCCCATGAAATCATGAAAGCCCTACACAAAATCCATAGCAACCACACAACATCTTCTTACAGGAAACTTGCTAAGTGACTTAGGAAAACCTACACTCCCCAAGCACCTCGCGGATCTTCCCCGCATTCGCCTCCTCCACCATCGCCTGCGCACGGATGCCCTGCTTCTCTCCCAAACCGGTGACGCTAGCAACAGGAGGACGAAAAAAAAGCCATGATAGCGTGACTAGGCGTGCATCTTGAATCTGAGGCAGACTTCAATCACCTCAACTCGCCTCAGTCATTCTCTCCGCAGAAGCGATGGTTGGCTCCAGTTCCTGCAGCTCAGCCATCAGGGCCTCTGCAGAAGCTGAAGATAGCTGAAGGATGCTGCGATCTCTCGGAAGCACATGGGGAGTCAACAGCGATCCCACAAGTGCACATCGGTTTTAACAGTTTGAGGCCTGGCAAGCCGAAGTGTGCGCCGCAAGCCGAGCTCGGATCTCCGCCTCTTTCTGCTCTCGCTCCTCGCGCCTAAGTTTGCCCACTTCACTTTGTCCGCCTTCATTCCAGATTTCTCCGCGTGTGGAGGCCCCACAAAACTCAAATAGAATCCAAGAATTAGCATCGATTAGCACCCATCATCCAGAGATGTCCCAGGTGCTCTTTCCGCTCACGCTCGAGGCGAAGCTCACGCTTGACCTTGCTCTTCTCCTCACGCGAAGTCGGTCGTACAATGTTGCTATGAGTAGAGATCTGGAATTCCGTGAAAGCCAGTGCGACTTCAGGAACTGAACAGCCTCGTCTCTTGCAATGCCAACGGCAACTTTGACCAGCTGCATGGACTCAATCGTGATGCCTTCTCTCAAACATGCAACAAGACTTGATAAAGATTGCTGCTACAAAAGACCAGTAAGGCAGTGAGAGCAGATCCTTAGCAGACCCTTGGTGCTCACCGCGTGCCTTCTTCTGACTCCATGCAGATCTGCCGCATGATTCGGTCCTTGGGAGCTGCTCTGGCGCGTCTTTGCCAGGAGCTCCAAGCAATACTGTATCCGTGAGCAGGTTCTTCACGTGTTTTCACAGGTTCAACTAGTAGTTCTAGCAGCATGGCTCGCCAAGTCCAGTGCAAGATTTTCTGCAGGGAGGTCGAAGTTGAACTCGCCCTTCGCATACGCCTGGGACTCCAAGTCGCTGGTGAATATACACTTGACGCTTGACACTGTTGACACCATGCCCTTGATTCGTCTCTGACTCCGGCAGCTATTTCTGCCCGATTCCACCGGCTGTCGCCATCCTGACAACTTGTCGCAACGGGAAGGTGTGCATGCAAGGAAGCGCGGAAGGGTGCACATGAGTGCAGATAGTGCAGAGCTTGAAAAAGATCAAAACACCAGATACAAGCATTTTCAAGCCCGCGGAGCAGATGTTGAGCTGACTTGACAACATCTTCAGGTCCCTGCACAGCACCGTCTTGCCTTAACTACAATCTTCTAGACTATAGATTCTATAGATCCTGAACTTCAACTCCGACAAACACCATGTGTCTTGGAGTCGACTGAATCCACATACCGGCAAGATTCAGGCACAAAATGAATTCACGCCATCTTGATGGCTGCACTGAAGATGTGTGAAACGGAATTCGTAGGCGAAATTCGCCAGAACTGCAAGATCCTAACACTATGGAAGGAAAACAAGAGTGGGCGCTGCACAACGCCTGGATGGGAGTCCTGGTGCCGTCAGCTATGCAAGCTCCGCAGCGCCCACATTGACCACTTCTGAGCCCGTTTTCGCGCTGGTCCTTGCCAGCACCTTTCACTTCGCCCATGCGGAGCCGTGCAGGCAAGGGGGAGAGGGGGTGGGGCTTCGGCATCATGCACCACCCTCTGCCCCTTCTTGGGCAGCGCCGGCCTCCTGCAAAAACACGCAGATCACGAGAGCAAGAACGCTACTTTGATGGTTGGAAGAGCTGGCACATAACGCGGCTTCCACCTCGTCAATCTGCGCACGAGCGTTGCTCTGCTCTTTGAAAGCTTTCTTGACATCCTGCCGTGCAGTGGAAAGATCTTCATGCTCTGCAACTGCTTACGGACAATCGGGCCACCTTTATTCTCTGCAGAAGTCTCTTCTGATCCATGAAGATCTCCTGGTTTGCTCTCTTGAGCACCTTGCCAGCGATCACGAAGGCAGCAGACAACAACGAGGATCAAGAAAAACCAAGCCGGTGAAGAAGAGCAAGCCAAAGAGGGCTCTTAACTTCATTAGTCATGGCAAGGCCCTGCCTGAATGTATTCACCGTACGTCTCTTTATCGACAAACTCGAACTTGCCCTGTCAGGGAACTTCCCTTGATTTTCTGCGCGATAGGGGAACAGCACCGAACAGTCGGCCTTCTTTACAACGTCTTCGACGCACGCCCGGCATCGATCAGAGATGACATCCGACTTCATGCCAAGAATCGTGGCCTTGATCGAGCATCATTCACTGCGCAGCACTAATGAACAAAAAGGATCCTCTTTGTTGATCTCACGTGGTAAAGGACAGGTGGCAGTTGCGGCACTCAAGGCTCCATCTCTGTCATTTTCAGCACCTGGAGCCAAGGCAAAGAATCAAAACCCCCTGGCTACGTGGTTTTTGGCGACTGGGCAGAGAAATGGTCCTGGATAAGTAGGGCTGCAGGGCAGCTTAACTATGTAGGGCCCTTTTTGTTGTGTGGGATTTTCTGAGGGTCTTAGGGGTGTTGGCTGGGATTCGGGGTGTTCATGTAAGGCTTGGGGTTTCCGGGCCTTTCAACCGGCTCTCATAGGCCACCTTGTCTTCAGCCTGCAAGGAAACAGGAGATGTCTCTGGCAGGAAAGCAGCTGGAGACACCTATACAGAGTTTGAGCAGGAAGCTTACACACTTGTTTGCGTGTTTGTTTGAAGCCTCGGCGTCTCTGTACTGGCACCGCAACTTCATGGCCACCTCCTGAGCAGAGGCTCACTGTGCTCACTATGCACTTGGGGCGAGTTGCCAATTCCAGTCCAAGAAGCCACCGGCTTGTTGACGACCGCAATCGCCTGTTCAGCCACAAGAAGCTCTACCACAAATCTGTTGCAGAGGAGGCGATCGGAGCACAGACTTCAGACGTTAGACAGGCGCAAGTGGTCGCAACATGGTGAGCTGCAGCATCATGCAATGTGGGGTTGAGAGCGTCCTTCTTGCAATCGTTGAGAGTCTTGTGCGCATCCATGAGCATCTTGTGCTCCGGACCGTAGTCATCCTGCCACCGACTAGCAGCTAGCACTTCTCTGATGACAACTCTGCCAGACTTTCACAGCAGCATTTGTAGAAGTAGCACCTCCAAGGACAAGGGGGCATCCGGCATGTCGCGCCAGTTCTTCACATCGGCCTGCAGAGGAACACTACACCCTGAGTATCCTTGACTGACCCTTGCAATCTGCAGACGTATCCGCTCGTGACGGCATACTGTACACTTGAGCACATGCTGTGGCTGCAGAACCCGCAATTATGTCATGAGGAATACACAAGATAAGAGCGTGCCTTGGCAGATATACGCAGACTGCCCAAGATGAAAAACAAGCTCACGGGTAGCTGCCTCGCCTCCCCCATGGAAGCCGCCAGGGAGCTTGGGATTCGCTCACCTCCAAGTGGCACGGCCTTTGGTGGACATCTTTTTAGGTCAAGAGCATCTCCCCTCCTTGTGCAAAGCTACGGATCTTCTTCGTGACTACGCTTGGAACTCAGTCGCACACAGTGGGATTTCCGTTGTGGAACTTCGGGTGGCTGCGATCAAACTGCTCAGCAAACTCAGCCCCACCTCTGCAAAGGAGGCGCCCTACATGACTACATGATCCACGGATGTCCGACCAAGACGTGCATGCTTGCAATCCGTATCTGCTACGCAGTCTGCCTTTCAGCCAAGGCGCTCTCTGCCAAGTCTCTGCAAAATTGCATGATATCCTCGGCGGTGCGACACAACTGTTCCACCGACTGCTAACTGCCGACGTCTCCGGCCGTCAAAGAATGAGGTTCCTGCCGTTCCCTCCGGAACATCAATGCCATCAGGCCTTGTGAGCACTTTCACATTGCCAACAACACACGGATCATACGGCTAAAGCTGCACTCATTGAAAGAAGAGAAGGGAGCTGAACAACTTCAGCATCTATGCAGAACGCACATGTGCAAATGGAGACGTTGTTTGTTGCTTCATCAGACCTGCTGTTTGGTTTTTCTCAGCTGGGCCACAAGATGCCGCGTGGCAATCTTTGAGGGGGCATTGTGCCTCAGACATCGTCGGTCCAAGCGTAGAAAAGCGGAAAAGGGCTAAAACGTTGTCACGTCTTCTGCACAGCTCTGCACAGCTCTAGGAGACCTGCACTTGCAGAGCGAAGGCCCCAACTCGAAATTTTAGACTGTTTTGTCACTTGAGCCAAAATATGCCACAACGCATCATCTGAAAACTGGTTTCACGCCCTTGTGGAAGCTTGAGCGGCAGCTCTCACGGCTCTCATGGCCTGGTCGTACTTGCCAAAGAGTGCAGTCTTCTTCTCCGTCCGCTTGGCTGTTGCGATGCGCTTGGCCTGGGCGCCGTTGCAATCGGTGCAAGGCACAAGAAAGTGGCACTAGGGAGTGGAGGTTCGCCTCCCCCTTGCAGATGTGGCTGGAGGAAGTGTGCAGCACTGTGCAGCCGGGGGAGCTGCAATTCTATCTCTGTTATCCTTGGCCTTGTTCAGGGCATCTGTGACGAGCCTCGTGGCCTCAATGTTGCACGATGCAGTGCCAACTTGCCATGTCTTGGGCCATAAACAAGCTCAGCATCCGACGGCTTGAATCCGCGGCTGCAACTCAGCGCGATCATGTTTATCAAAATCCCAATCGCATATATCATGTCTAGCCGACGGACTATCGAGATGATCTGAAGGCTTCTGCAGGGAGGCCTTATGCAAAACCACATAACTGGACAGTGGCGCACTGTCTGTGGACTGTGCGGCAACACACATGCCAGTGAAACCGCTGCATGCGCTACCCTGAACAGGACCATTGGAAGAAGCACGCGACCTTAAGCTAACAAACCCCAACCAAGATGCAGCACGCCGCACAATTGCCGGTTGGCACAATTCGCTCAAGGGCTTACAAAGTCACAGTGCTAAATCGCAGTTTAGATGAAAAGCCAAATTCGCAACGTCTGGCCTGAGCAAAAACTTCGAGACGAGGTACAAAAGTTGAATTACACGAGTCCAAAGAAGAAGTCTCAAGATTCAACGCTTCAATTTCGGCTTCACAGGCAGCCAATCAAGGATTAGGAACTTCACAGCCACACACACACACACTGCAAGCAAAAGCCCATGACAATGTGCTTGCAGGCTCTGCATGCAAGGTTTTGCGAGACCACAGATCTGCGGCTTAAACCCCATCATCTGATGGAGAGTTCCAGATTCAAACCTGGATTCCCCGCTTGCCAGCATCGAGGCCCAAGCCGGTGGGCTTGACGATGCGACGATTGTGGATGTGCCATCGTCGGTATTTGTTCGGGCTGTGGAGATTTCCTCTGCTGAACGAGCAGCCTGCACCCGAACCTTTGCAGTCTTGTGGCATCTGCCGACACGCCATGACATCCCGGCCAATACCAACGCAGCCAACGCAGCCACGAAATCATCCCTGAAACCACACCCATGCCCGCGCAGCCCGCATGCTTTGCTTTAAGAAGCGGATTTAGGGAGGAGGACCCGTAGATTGCAGACTACGATGTCAAATGGACCCTTCAATGTGCTGGCTTGTCCAAGGGCGCCGCAGCCGAAATGGCAGCCGAAGTCTCGGATCTGATGTTCTCGGCCTACAGAAACAGCTCCCCCTGTTTTTGTTTCTTGTTCACTGTGTTTTTTGGTATTTTAGTGTGTTTTTCTCTCTGGGTTCTTTAGCCCGTGATCCAATATTAAGATTCAGTGTTATCTTAATGCTTTTATGGTGCATATCTCATCATCCTTTACAGATATACTATTGACCGAATAGAATTGTAAGGGATAAAAACCACAATAGCCTGACAATAACCTAGTAATATTCAATCATAGAATTGGCAATGTGTGCGCCAATCTTCTTTACCTAAACAGATTAACAGGGCATACGAATGACACGGGCTAGTCAAGCTTCTCTAATCCTTCCCAGACCCCCTTGGCCCTCTTGGTACACAATCAGACGAACATGTCCAGCACGTGATGGCTTCCTAATGGCTTCTACGTGTACTCTGAACGCTGCATCAGGTGCCTCCTCGATGGAGGCCTTCTTGCTACCCAATGTGTCCACGCAAGCCTGGCACGCGGCCATCGCGGACTTGCCTCGAGAGTCAGACAGGAAGATCTCATGAAAGAGAGGACCCCCCAGATCCTCTCTTGTCCTGTGTCAGCACTCTAAGGGGTCTTAAGGAATCCAACGTGGGACGAAGCTGCCACTCCGCTCGACCTTCTTGCACAGCTTGAGGACCTGCACAGCAAGGAAGGCTTTAAGGTACAGACTACAAGTACCAGTGCACAAACAGAAGTAAAAGCAAAGCACTGGCAGTGCACCACAAGTACACTCCAAGCAGCCTCCACCACTTCCATCTCATGGTCACCGGCCTTTGTCTACAAAGCGACATGCTGCGGCAAGTTCAGCTGGCTACTGCACTTGATCAACTGACAAGATCCAGGCAAATGGAGCTGCAGTGTAGTGAGTACCCTCAGCCGCTGCCTGCATGCGCATATCGGAGCACAAGCCAATGCAATGTTGGCGTTGCATGATTCCTGGTCGGGCCTCTGCTGTTGCAACCATGTTCCTGGCAGCCGGAAGCCGCTGTCTTCATAACCGACAAGAGAAGCGAACAGGCCGGGGAAACTGGAGCTCCGCTATTGCTGCCCGGGCGTTGGCTTCAAGCTCCTCCTGCTTCTTCTGCCTGGCCATATTCGTCACAGTCGACCGGTGTGTTGGAGTCACAAGCCTCTGAGAAGATTGACTTTAGGCGGGTTTCGTGTAGCTGGGGAAAGACGCGGAAAGACGTGGCTCTCCCAGGCTCTCCCAGGCTCTCCCAGATCCATGTCGGGCATACTGCTGAAGCTTGAGCTCCTCCCACTTCTGTTGCTGCTCGCGCACCTAATACAGGTTGCCAGCATGTCGGCAGGGACTACACCCTGTGTCACATACCCCGTTGTCTAGTTGCGCAGATATTCGAAGCATTTCGAAGCTGAGGCATGCGACCTGATCTACATACTGCTTGGCATATTCAAGCACCCGGTCGGCTTCCGCCTTCAGAATCTCCTGAAGGCCCGTGCTGGAACCCCCGGTGCCGTTGCAGCATGAGCGTTGCAGTCCTGCTGCGCCCCCGTTTCTGGCAACTCATTGTCCAGAACCTGACGAGAACTGCATTCAGAGCAAGAATCTTCCCGTGTCTAGGGCATCTGCTAGGATCTGCTGGGTCTTTGCCTCGTTCAGCTCCTTGTTCAGAGCTTCGAAGGTCTCTGGGCCTTGAGATACCGGCCACTTGAGATACAAGACTTTTCAGAGGTGGCTTGTATTACAAGCCACCTCTGAAAAGTAGATCGTCATCATCAGCAAATTCAGCAACAACATCAGAACCGCCGCCACCAGTCTGACGTACACATCACGACGAACTAGGCCAGGGACTGGCGTTGGAAAGCTTCTGCAAAACCCGAAGGACGGAGAGTGTGGCCTTCGAAGTCTCGCAGCTGTGTCTGCTGCACATGTCCCTCAGTGTCAAGCAGCCCCACCATCTCCCAATTCAAGCGCGGCTGGCCCTCGAACCTGCTGCTGTCGCAGCACTTTTGCCTCATCCTCGCGTCGCTTCCTGACCAGGCGGCGGATTGACACGCACAGACATCTCGAGAGGTTGCCGACATGGAGCCTCAAAGACTGCACAAACATTGGAAGACTGAGGGCACCACTGATCTTCCTCTGCGCGCCGCTTATCATCATCCGCCCGGCGAGCTATCTCCTCCTGCAGGGCTCTTCCCATCTTCCCGCATGTTTCCCGAAGCTTGGACGATGCAGTCCTCGTGGCGCTTCCACTCTTCACGGCGCTTGCGCTCCATCTCCTTGGGTTTCACATCTTGAATGCAAAGCGGTGCGGCGGATGACCAGTGTGCTGTCTCCCAGCCTCCTTTTGCTGCTCCTCCTCAACCTTGCGGCGCTCCTGAAGGTGGCTTGTGGTGGACTGCAAGGCAGAAACGGTGTTTTTTCCCGCTGCTTCGCGGGCCTGGTCTTGCTTCCTCTCCTCCGCAACTCTGGCCTCAGTTCATGAAGGCCACATGCTACTGTACATGCTCTTTGCTGTGCTTCATTTGTCCTTTAGCTGCGCTTTGCTCACCTAAACTCCGATCATCCGACGCTTTTGCGTCATCCTCTCTTCATACCACAGGTCCAAGAAGCTCTCCGCTCTTCGTCGGCCTTCTTGCGCTCCTCCAGGTGCAAAAGGTGCTGAGGCAACGGTTCGGGATGCCATCTGAGGAGATGCACGAGGATGCACTCTTTCCGTGATCGCGGCTCCTATCACTTGTTCATATGATTTCATATGGTTTTAAGAGGTGTCATATGGTTTCCCTTTGAGCTTCGTATGGTTTGATGTGCCAATTCCCCGCTTTGCGCTCCGGCCTCCTCCTCCCGGCGCCGCTTCTCGTCGCGGCGCCTCTGGAGCTCCTCCTCCCGCCGGCGCATATCCTGTACAGGTTGTACAAGTGTTGTACAGCAACAGCCGGATCCACTTGGAATCCACACAACACAGATATGCCACAAACATGCCACAGGTATGCACTGAGTGCAACCTCTACAGATCACTGCGGCAGGGCGCCTCCTCCTTCTTCCGCTTCTCTTCTTCTCGCTTTATTCTGTCCTGCAGCACGGCAGTACTAAGACGATTACCTACCTTCTCTGCATACCCCTGTGGAAGTAGGTGTTCCTGTAGGCGTATAGGGAAAACAAAATGTCAATCCCTGCTCGCCCCAATAGTACCAGGACATTCAATCTCGCGTGGAACCTGCTCCTCCCTCCGCTTTCTTTCCGCGTCGTCCTCTTTCCGCCTTGCACCATGGCAGGACACGATTTTGCTCAGCGGGACAACACCATCAATGTGCCAATCAACCTGTCGTCATGGCGTCTGCGATCTTCTTCCTGCTTGCCTTACAATGGCACAGTGTGTGTGTGTGTGTCATGCCCTCATAACGACTCCAAGGTCATAGGCTCCGCAGACGAACTTCTCGGGGCCACGGCGGCGGCGCTCCTCCTCTCGGCGGCGATGGTCGTCGTCTCGGCGAAAGTCCTCCTCCTCTTGGGCTCGATAAGAAAAACACGATGAAAGAAGGCTTAAAACCACTGTCAAACCTCAAGAAACTGCGATTGATGCGAGTGATGCGATATTGCGATTGTTCAGGCCCCCGTCTCCTCGCGCCGTCGCTTGCTTGCCCGGTCGTCGGCCTGCCCAGCTCCGAAGCTTACAACTCACTCTCTCTCTCTCTCTCTCTCTTGAGCTTCCATTCACCGGCGCCAGTCCGTGCCGAAGAACACAAGGTTGCGGCAGCATGTCATCAACAATGAACTGGAAGATGGACTATGGCCATCTTAAATAACATATCTTATAACACCTCCTCCTCGCGAGGAGGTCGCCGACGGTCAGCAGGCCCCCTCAGTAGAAGATTTTGACTGGGATTCTTCTCGCTTGTCCAGATCTCGGGGCTCAGCCCGCTACTACCTACCACACTATTTAATTGAATGCATGAAGATCCGCTGGGTCGTCAGCTCGTCACGACGCTGGTCACGACGATCACCATCCCGTTCCCGGAGCTCCTGAGTGTTTGGGCCACTTTGCCTGCAAACCGAAGTCAATTTTCACTTCGAAGAAGAAGAAAGAAAGTTGAAAGGCGGTGCAGGGACGGGGGACTGCAGGGACACTGTTGGGGCACTCTTGGGACTCTCTGCGTGGTTCTCCGCGGCTTTCTGGGGGTCTGCCGTTCAATTGTACTCTGCAGGATCCAAACAAGGAGAACAGAAGACTCGGGCGAAGAAAACCGCGAAGTCAGAACCCTGGCAACCTCACACTGAGGGTGGGGAAGAAAGACAGTGACACCATCAGGCTATCACATTATGCTATCACAGTCACCTTGGACGTTGAAGGCGAAGAAGTGTAAATGAATCAACAAACACGAGAATGGAAGCGCCAAAGCGGCTCGAGCTCGGTTGTCTCGGTCACGATTTTCACCTCTCTCACCGCGACCTTCCTCGGCAACAAACTCCAATACCGTGATTACATGGTGGCGTTCGGCCTTCTCGGCCCCGTCTGCAACCCGCATGCAATCAAGCAAGGTCCAGTCCTCCCGGTCACGCTCCTCACGGTCTCGGCGACCTCGCTTCCACGTGACTCTGAAAGCTACCTACCAGCGGCGACCTGTGGATGCATCAAACTCACTACAATCACCATTTCATCCGTGCGGAGAGCTCAGACAACACAGGCTCGCGCCGCGTCTATCATCCCGGTCATCCTGCCAGATACGTCACATGACTCCAGAAATTACTCTTGCCACATTTTGCGACTCAACGGACCTAGCTTGCTTTACAGCCGGTACATGAAAGTCCACAGAATGCGATTGCTGCATCTTCCCAGCATGGAGGTGGTTCTAAACTGTCTTTGGGGGGGTCCTTTCATAGGGAGCCTACCAAAAACCAACAAACCTCCTTGTGCTGAACGGTCCTTGTCTGGCGGTGCGGGCCTTGCTTGAAGGTGATGGAGGGAAGCTTTTGGCACGCGGCATCATGTGCCGAAGAACTCTGACGTCTTTTCTGCGGCGCGACGAGCTTAAAAATGTCGCACTAGTGGGACACATGTCGTCTTGCGCAACCATCATTGGCACCTTTCGGTCAGGATACGCCGGCTCCTGAAATCAAACTCGGCGATGACGCCAGGGGCAAAAAACTGGCAACTGCCATGCGAGCTCTTTGCCATTCATTCGGCTTTCATTCCGGCATCAGCTCGATGGTTAAGTTACTATATATGGTTGTGGTTGCTACCTCGCGTGAAGGAATGGCATGCTCTGAGAGACCATTTTTGGAGGCCCTTCTGGGCTCAGGCACGAGTAGGCTTCCTTGGCAAGCGCACTGCTCATTCTCATTGGAGGGTTCAATGCTTGTCAGCAACAAAAGAAGTGAATAAAGGGCACGACTTGCTCTTGCAGCCCAATCTCGTGTTTGCAGCAGCAATCTCCTGCACATAGTCCTGTGCCAGTCAGACAGCATTGAACTCTCGCTGTGCATTGTTACAACACATGATTTCAAAGGGCTTCTGCTTGTAAATTAAACACTGACATGTTTTGAAACAGTCCCCATCTCTTCCATCTGCTGGGTATTGCATTTGGGCGCCTGCATCTCCTGGAAGAACTCCTCGCCGGCCTCTTTCCGGATCTCAAGTCCAGCATCCTTGCCAATCGCAACAGCATCAGACCTGAGTCGAAAGCCACATTCACCGAAAAGCTAAACACGAGCTTGGATTTGATTCAACTCCTATCATGCTTGAGTCAGCAACGGAAGGGTAAGTTCAGCAGAAGGCATGAGAAACAAAAAGCAATTGTGGGAAACGGAAAAAGCAATGCAGCCACCACATCAGCTTTAAACACAAACCTAGCCGCCTGTCTGAGCTCATGCTCAAACTGGCACTGTTCTTCCGCGTTCTTGTGCCAAAGATGTTACTCTTCCAGTAACTGCTGGGGCTGGGGGTGGAGTAATTCACTCTGTTGCGACAGCATCGCCTTCTGCTCAACCTGCTTGATAAACAGGGGTTCGGAAGTGTATCAAATGTCTGCAGTCAACATCGCAGGATGACGAGAGCCGACTTGACTTAATGTTGCTCCTGGCACGCGCTCTGCTCAAAGTGCTTGGTGAATGGCATGGGGCTTTTCCCTGCGCATCTGGCTATGAAATCCTGAGACGGGAAACTGTGTTGTTGAGATGATATTGCATCTGCCTTGCAGATGTTGTTGTCGTCATACAATGTCTGAAACGACACTGCCGGATAAAGGAAACTGGTGTGGTAGATGTTGCGCATTTTCGCTGGGGTCTCTTTGGCTCACAATTCACGCTACTACCTCAAGCAACAACTTGTGTCAAAAGACACGAGTAAAATGATATGGACATGCCAGCTTCAAACAAGGAAAGCGAGGTTCATCCAGAGTTCATAATACCGCTCATAAAGTCCCCGTAAAAGCCACGCGGGCACTCCATTCCTCATAATTTAACGGAGCTTTCACCCTGCTCGGCTTTGACACATTAGTCGCGTTTCTATCGCTCTACATCCTTATAATTCGACACGAGAACGAAGTGAGCGACTTCAGAGTTCACCTCGAGTGCTATCTCTGCGCCTTAATCCCGCGAATCGTTCACGTTCAACTACCTGAGTCTAACCGTGTCGCGCCGAAAGCCACCCCCCAACTGCCCTAACCGCCCGAATCGCCCCAACTGCCCGAACTGCCCTGATTGCCCTAACGAACTCTTATCTTGCATCGCTTGATGACTCATGTCTTTGGTGTGTTTCGCGGCATTCACTTGGACTCTGCTTGGGCTGTTGAGCCTCGATTTGAGAATTTTCCATCGAAAACCATTGCGATGAGCAAGAACGGGACCGGTTTCAACGATGCACCGACTGGGTAACTAGGAGGGAGAGGGGTTATATTCTGGTGGATTCCGATGCATTCCCTGGGCCCGCTCGGGGGAATATACGATGGCCTTGAAGTGCACCGAGGAACATACTAGAACCACATGCACAAAAACGCGGCAGGCTGCAGGATGCTGGGCCACTGAGGGCTCCACACGGCTCCCTTGCGCTCAACACGGTAGATGGTTTGCCCGTCCTGGCGAAAAGGACTGCGCAAGAGTAAACGCAAGTGCAAATGCAAAGTGCAATAAAGGGCAAAAACTACAAATGCGTACAGCACATGGATACATGGCCTGAGAACAACATGCGCCCTTCTTCGGACAAAAAAGTCCCCCTGAGGTCCGGCGAGGCGACGAGGCCTTTCAGCACCAGCTCATCGTCGATGACCCTGGCCTGACCTCTGCAAAAAGTACGTCCGATGCACGAACATAAGCAAAACAAATGCGCAGCTGATCGTGTCTCAGCGAGAGGCCTGCGATCGGTGTCTTGCAATTACCATCCAATGCTGCCAGGAATGCCCGCTCGCAGGTGACGGACTGGCACAACTTCAAGCTTCAGGGTGGTAGGAAGTAGCAAAGTAGCAACAGTCCTCACTTCGCTGCAGTCTCATGCACTCTGCAGGGCCTGGAATGTGTCTGCATGAGACAAAGGCTTCAAGTAGTTCAGCACACGCTCGTCATCCGAACGGCACTGGAAGCTGATTGCACCTGCAGGAGCAACATGCTCGAAGAACAGAGAAGTGGCTCTGCAGCTGAGTTCAGTCGATGCCTTGAGCAATGGCGGGCAACATCTCATCCCACTCGAGGATCTTGGTCGCATGCTCCTGGCTGAAGCGGCAAACAAAAAAGCGGATTGCACACACACACACACACACACACACACACACACACACACACACACACACACACACACACACACACACACACACACACACACACACACACACACACACACACACACACACACACACACACACACACACACTAACACACACACACACACACACACACACACACACACACACACACACACACACACACACACACACACACACACACACACACACACACACACACACACACACACACACACACACACACACACACACACACACACGCACGCTCACTCAGTCCGTCGCCGATCCTCCATGCTCATGCGTTTGAGTCCGGCGTACGCAAGGAACGTTCCCTTGACATCTCCACCCTGCAATTTCCGCAGCCTACGGGGAGAAAGCCACATAAAGCAACCAGATGCAGACACATACCGCATTCATGGTACAAGTTAATATGCACATGTAGCATCACATGATGTTGCATGCTTTTTTGTAGCACCTCGTCTGCACATTGCCCCGGAAGTTCACGCACTTTACGTTGGGATTCTTGCTGTAGATCTGGGCTTGTCGTCGAAGAGAAGCAGTGCCAATGAGGCTGCCATCTGGGAAGTCCTCAATGCATGTGATGGCCGGGTCGCCGCTGATCAGCACGTCGCGCGTGTCCTCTGCAACGACTGAACTTACAGCTTTGAGATCTTGACAATCTATGAGTCTGTGAGGCTTTCGCTGTGTCTCAAAACCAAAGTGCAGTCCTCTCTTGGGAGCATCGTACAGAGCTCCGTGTCGGGAATCAGCTCGGTAGGAACATCCTTGGTGGAGTGCACGCAGAAGTCGACCTCTTTCGCAGCAAGCGCAACGTCGAGCTCTCGCGTGAACAAGCCCTTGCCGCCGATCTCTGCCAAGGAGATCTCCAATCGTTGGTCACCAGTGGTCGAAATGATTCGAATTTCCACCGCATCATCTGCAGCAAGCTCTTCGTACGCCTGGCACGGACCCCAACACAACGACAACTACCCCAATTACGACCACGACGACGACTTACTTCATGCTACGACATCCAGCTACATGTCAATACATACTACTGCATGGACATACTACTACATAACACACAGTGCATAAGTGGCGCTGTCCTTTTCCTGCCTTGATGTGCTTAAAACATCTTAAAACCATGCGAGTTTACTTGCATTACCTCTTGGAGGAGCAGCTCAAGCCTTCTTGATGCCCTGGATGTGCAGATGTCACGCTGCACATCCGGGGGTTTCGAAAGGGGGGGGGGGGGGGCTTTGGGGGGGGTGTGATTCTGCCTGAGCCTTCCTCCAGCGACTCTTTGGGAATAAAGACTTTAAGGGGAAGGGCTAAAGGCAAGTGCCTTTGTTGCGGAAATTCTTGCAGCAAGGGCAGCAAGGGCTTTGGGATGTTTATGTTTATGTTCCATGTTTCAAAGGCTTAGTGGTAGGAACCGTTTTCCAACTCGTGCTTGTAGGGATTCTTGTCTTTCAATTGGTACCTTGTGTGAAGTAATCGACTCTAGCAGCAGACATGGGACGAGGTCCTCATGTTCTTGAAGCCTGTCTAACCGCTCCCTCAACTGCCCATGTTGCTCTTGCTGGTTTATTGCTGCATGATACATGCTACCTTCCCCTGCTTTAACTTGGCCCCTGGATCCCTGTCGCCTCGCCCAGACGCCGCTTGGCTTCGTAGGCCTGTGCCAAGGCCAGCGGGGAGCCGCGCGTGCCCAATGTCAGGATGGGACCTTCGCAGAGGGGCGGGCGGTGGGGGATTCTTTGGTCTTTTGATGTGCGGTTCACGTCTTAATTCTCGCTGATTCTCACTTCTCGCTACAGTCACTACACTCTCACTACACTCTCACTACACTCTCACTGCACTCTCACGAGTCTCACGAGTTCACGAAAACGACTGGCGGGCCTTCGGCATGGCATGCCACAGCGCGTCGAGAGCGCCTCGTCGCTGCACCCACCATGACACCAGCGACCAAAGTGCAGGCCACTGCAGAACCTGTGGGCCAGAAAGCCATTCCACGTCATTCCACGTTCACGGATTTCTAATCAGCTAATCAGCACATCTCACGAGCCCTCGACTCTCCTGTGCTGTGTGCCACACCTCCTTGTGCTGCCGGTCGTGACTGGCGACTCTGGGTTGCCGGGACCTGCGCACGGTCCAAGCCCGTCTGCGCGCCCCGCGTCACAGCGAAGCCAGTGCTCTGGCTGCTGGGAGCAATGGTCCACGCCAGAGCTCCGCAGCATCCGGCGGCCATTGCTTTCGCGGCACTCGGGCGGTGCGCCATGGCAACTAAGTTAGTGCACGGCCTAGCCGTCAAAACTTGGGCACGAGCCACTTCCAGTGCGAGCCGGAAGAAGCATGCAGAGATCCGTGACAGAGTCAGCAGCAGGTGTGACTCAATCCTATCTGAAAAGGTATGGTTGCTTGGTATGGTCAGTAACATACCCTTGTCATTGTGTCCTCCAAGCCTTGACGGGCAACCCCAGAGGGTCGCTAAAGGGTCGGTACCATGACGCGTTGATTCACTGACCGGGTGTGGAACGCTCTGGGCTTTTCCATGATGCTCTGCATCTTGCGCTGGAACTCTTCCTCCCGCCGTCTTCCTGGGCCACGATGCCGCAAGTGCCCACGAGGGTTGACTCTTGAAGATGCTTCCTGGGACTTCTAAGGATCGGGCTTTCCTCCGCCCGCCGCTTCAATTCCTCTACATGCCGCTGCCTTGGGCGAAAACGCATGTCAGAGACTTCCAACATCCTCCCGATGTCTTCTCCAATTTAACGATCCTGGGGTACAGGCTCTTCCTCAGCCTCGCGGGCCACGAGGTCTTTCACCTCCTGCAGCATGCAGATAGCACAACACACCCAGAACAGCTGCAAATGCCTGTCCTGAATCTGTCTACCGACTTGCCTTTGTGGAGGCTCCTTCAAGCTGAGAAATGACACAGCTCCGCACACATAAATGTACACGCAATCAGACATGGATGGCATTGCATGTACCTTCCTGCCAACTGACCTAAACTCATATGCCAAAATCATACCCTGTCCTCGCGACGATCTTCATGCTCGTCGCGCCGATTGTCTCTTCGATCTTCTCTTCGATCGTCCCTTCGTTCTTCCCTTCGATCTTCCCTTCGATCGTCCCTTCGTTCTTCCCTTCGATCGTCCCTTCGATCGTCTCTTCGTTCTTCCCTTCGATCGTCCCTTCGATCGTCTCTGCGATCGTCGCGACGATCGTCGCGTCGATCGTCACGCCGATCGTCGCGACGATCATCATGCTGCTGCCTCAAGATGTTGCGGCAACAGCTCGCTCAACAAGCTTGTGTGAGATCTCACCATGAAACTGCCTATCTTCTCGCCACTCTTCCCGCCGCCTGGGGGCAGAAGCTGATAAGCGGGATAGGGATTGAAGCGGCATAAAGAATTCAGATCCCTCCATGTTCTGACAACACCCCCAAAACATGCCCCAAACCCTGGACGCGTGCTGTGTTTGCTGCCGTTGCTTTCTCTTCCTCTGGGTTCTCCGACGGCTCTCCGCGCCGTGCAGCTGTCGCGTGATTCGGCTCCTCTCGCCGACGCCTCAGTGCCCCAAAAGGCCCAAGTGGCCCCAAGGGCTAAGGGCCCCAAGGGCTAAGGGCCCCAAGGGCTTTGACGCATGACCGGACTCACCACCAGAGTTGGTCCACGGGACATGGCATGACACAACAGGCTCATCAGGCTCCAGACTCCTCCTCCTCCTTCTTCTGCTGCTCTTCCCTACGAGCACGTTCTTGCCGTCGACGGTTGTAGGCCTCGATATGAACAAGCGCAGGGGCAACTGCATGATGGCATGTCCTGCCCATACATGGCTGCGAATATCACGCCATCTTGGTCATGAGCGTCCACAAAGTAGGCATGCGAATTGCTGGTAGCTGGTGCCTTAGTGACATCGAGCGCTGCAACAGATGTCAACGATCTACAAGCAGAAAGCTGACTTGCCGGGTCTGAAGCAACGCTCGGCTCCTCTTTGGGCGGCTGCGAGCCTGGCCAAGAATCATCGGGTACCCCACAGTCTCAGCTGCACATGCTACGCAGATGGATGTTCTAGTTGCCGTCCGAGCCCTCCACTATCCTTCTGGCCACGCCTCAGGGCTAAGTTCCAAGATTTGAGCATGGAGTGTTGCAAAAGAAGTTGTGGTGCGCTTTTTAGCGTGTGCCAGCACTGCTCGGGCTCCCTGGCTCGTCTCTAGTTTGGCGACGTGGTCGAGAGGTGGGAGGCCTTGGAAGCTATGAACATGCATCACCTTGCCACAAGGTTCTCGGAGCTCTGTTGAGTTGCCAGCTCTTCCTCTTGAGCCCTTCTTTGCCCTGAATTGGCTGCAAAAGCACTGCAGGATACCGCAAGCTTGCCTTTTACACACAAACATCATAAAACCGCGTGACGAGCACGCGGCTACCACGCTCTGCTCTCCCGGCCTTCGGGCGCAGGTTCGGCCTCAGGCGGCGGCCTCTTGGCTGCCTGCACACGCACGTTGCAGATCTCGAACAATATGAGAAACATAATGAAACCCTGCGCGCTGCGCGCACTGCGCGCACTGCGCGCAGTGTGCGCACTGCTTGTGCCAGAATGACTTAGTCTTACAATGACTTATTCTACGTTCAGACCGCTCTCTTCGAAGCTGGCCCGACAGGAAAGCGGAACCTCCCTCGGCCGGCTCCGCGCAGTGGAGCGGTCTGGGCTGGGCTCGCCTGGCAATTCGGACCGCTACAATCGACACCGGGATGCCCCCAATCTTGAAGACTCGAATGAGCCTGCAGGAGGCTGCGATGGAGCCGTACCTCGGCAGCTCAAGTTCGGCTGATGCCCTTTATCGTCTTGAGGGGACGTCCCTGACCGCTTATTTCTCGCACAGACGTCAACTTCCTGATGCCTGGGCGGCGCACGCATGGCAGAGACTGTGAAGCTGGGATCGACATCTCCGTCATGTGGAACGTTCCATTCCGAGCCGGGCGGAGTGCCGGCCGTTCGGCTTGGGTGATAGGCCCAGACCTGCACCCAAAGCGATGACAAGTCAATGCCAACAGCTGAGCATGCAGGCCAGTGGCCAGCATGACGAAACACGGCGAACGTGTATGGCATGACATGCATGAACCTATATGAACCTTCAATCTCCTTCAATCTCCAGTCTGCACGCCTGGTCGCCACCGACGTTCGGACCGAACCACCAGCCACAAAGTTCTGGACCTCGGGCGCTCGAGTAGTAAACCTTCGGAGGCAGAAACCGAAGACAGCCGAGACTGCTGCCGTCCCGCTCATCCCAGAAGTAGATCAGGACGTCTAGCCCTGACAGCAAACGCAGTCATTTTGGCAACGGAATAGCCTGATTCTGGATACCGCATACGGTGCGTGTCGGCCTCGGGACTTCTCCTGCTTCTTGTACACCACCTTCCCGTGGTTGAGGCTGTCTGGCATGTAGATACCAGCCTCGGTTGCCAAGGACATCCGGTGCAGATCTCCTCGGCTTTTCAATCTAAGCACTAAAAAGGACTCTTCCAGGACTTCTCCAAGGGGCAATAATTGAGCTGATGGTCTCATTCTGACAGCCGCTCACAGTCAAAGGTGGAGCGGAGGCCTGCAACACTGCAACGTGCCACAGTGTGTTGCCCAATTTTGCTTCCGAAACCCCCTAGGCAAATTTGACCCTAAAACAATCTGTCTATCACTTAACCCTCCAGAACATCGAACGTTTTTCCACCTTGCTTGTCGTCGCTGGAGGTGGCGGTGCCTGGAGTGACGAGTGGGAAGTCGCTGGGAACATGTTCACTCAATTCCGTAGTGCATGTGGGAGGATGTCTCAAACTGCTGTGGGCCTCCATATGCCCCCCATGGCCCCTTAACGGACCTCCTGTGGACCTTTATGGACCGCCTATGAATTTTCATGGACCTCCTATGAACCTTGACTCTCTATGGGCCCCTTTACACCCCAATGGACGCTGTATGGATCTTTCTGACCGATTGGCAGCCCATGCACTCATGAAACCTCATGTGATGGACTTTCTAGGGACCGCCTGTGACCCACCCCTATGGAACGATCATGGACCTTCTGTGGACCTCCTCTGAACCTTTATGAAACTATGATACCCCCATGGACAACCCCATGACCCCTTAGCAACCCCTATGGACCGAACGGAGGTGAGAACCAAATTAGTCTGAAATGGGAGTGCATAAAAGGTTTGGCAATCGGAGACACAGAAAATCATGCGTCGTCGGGGAGTCTAGACTCAACTAACAGCGTCCAAATGGATGCATCCAAGGGCCATTGAGAACTGAAGTGTTACCCCAAGGGTTGCGGAAGCAACACAATTTTGGCACGGGACTACAAGTATGCAAATCAGATAATGTATGTCAGTTGTGCAAACGGCTCATGGGTCCACGTGGCCTCCTCCTCGTCCTCCCGGTTTCGCCACCGGCTACGCCCAGACTCGCGGCCAGACTCTCGGCCGGACTCGCGACCAGACTCTCGGCCGTAGCCTCGGTGGTCGCTTCGGTCACCTCGCAGAAGCAGCATGCTGGGCATGAGGACATGACGGCACAGATCAGCGGAAGTCAAACACAAAAATCCTTTCCAATGCCTTGGCCTTCGGGACGCCGGGCCGGCGGATCCCTTCGGTCGTCCTGAGCTGCACCCTCCCCCTCAGGAGAACTCGAGAGACTTGAGGGCCGGAGGCAGGGAGGACGAAAGCTCGGGGGCCGGAAGCAAGAGCAAAGTTGCATGAGAAAGTGTGGGCAGGGACCTGTTGGAGGCATTCTTGAGGGGTCAGAGTCTTCTTTGCAGCCGTCGCAGGGAGGATACTAGCTTTAAAAACCCCGCCCCTTCAGGTATTGATATATATATATATATATATATATCAATTTACCCCCCCCACCCCCCCCCCCCCCCCTCCAAAACCAAGGACTTCGTGTGATGTATCAATTTACCCCCCCCCCCCTCCCCCCCCCCCCTCCCCCCCTCCCCCCCCCCCCCCCCCCCTCCCCCCCCCCAATGAGATAGTAGCAATAATACGCTCTTTTCTGGCCGTGGTCGGCCCCCTACTGCTAAAGCAGATTAAACTCCAGCTCCGCTACGCGAGCTTTCGTGTTCTTAGATGTTCTAGGATGCAAGAAAAGAGCTTTCGTGTGTTTTCGTGTGTTTTCACATGCCCACATGCCCTTCTCACCTCCTCCTCGCCGCGCCCTCCGCGGCTCCAGCGGCCGCGGCCATCCCGGCCATCGCGGCCATCGCGGCCATAGCCGCGGTCTCCTCTGCTCGCGAAGAAACCCGAAAAAGCACACAAACGTTGTCACACAAGCGCAGACCATGAGAGCACATTGACGCACAGACCTCGGCGGTCGCCCATCCAACCTGTGCCAGGCATGCTACAAAAGCGTGAAGCATTCCCTTTCTACAATGGTGCCAACGTCTGCGCTCTCGCGAACACAAGCCAAAATTGCAATCAGCTTCTCTTGCCTTGCGGCTGGGGACGGCCGATGGCCCGAGATAAAAGCTCGTTTGAGGCGGCGGGACAATGCAGCATAGCACATCGGACATAACTTCCCAAGCTCAACGAACTCAAAACGAATGTTGCATAGAGCTGCAACGTTACATCAAGTGAAAGGACATGAAAGCATGACAGGCAATAGGATGGTCCTAATGAACAAGGCACAAGTCAGGTGGCCGGCTCGTCGTTTGAGCATCGCAGCGGACCGCTTTGGATCCTGCATGCTCATGCAGTCGGAACCCAGTTGCATTCACTGGCTTCACGAAAAGAGGGCATCTGGATCAAGTTGCGACAAACTGTGTTGTGGCCTTCTCCCAGTATTGCAAAGTGCGATACATCGTCGACAACTCTTGAAGTATCCTTGCACGGTGTATCACATCATGGAGGAGTTTTGACCACACTGCAAGTTACACAGGTCCTGACATGCTCTGTCACCCAACCATCCAGGAGGAAGTAGTCGAGAGCATGGGCGAAGAAGTGGTTGCCCAGCTTGAAAATCTGGCAGTCCGATGAAAGCTGGAAATCTTGCAGCAAATGTGCTTGTTGATGCCCTCGTGTGATCAAAGTGCTAACGTATGCTACTGTTTTCTTGAATTGTCACCATGCCGAGTCAAAACTTGCTCTCTCGTGGAGGCGCGGGGCTGAAACTCGAGCAGGCCTCTCGGGCAGCAGTGAAAGACACGCCGACGCAAGAGGGCCAGGGAGCCCTGGGAACGACAGCGACTTTGAGCTCTTCGAATTTTGGCAAGCTCTCTCTGGCCCGGACATCTTCCGACCAGACGCGGGATGACTCGGGTTGAGGCGCTGACCCGTCAACTGCAGTTTCTTCGCCTTGCCATGGGCACTGAAATTTCAATACATCGGAGATGCATCGGAATGCAAAATGCTGCCGGGAACTAGGTGACAAAACAGGCGCTAGATGCACTCATGGGGTCTTGGTGAACAAGTTAAAGAACCTAACCTGCTACCTCTGCGCATCTTTTGGGCAACGCTGAATGCGTCTCGCATGTTGCTTTCAAAGCGTGGGCCGCGATGTGTTGGACAATTACTGTGCTGTGGCTTCGAGCCTGGCTATGCGTTCATGTAATGACCGAATCTGGGTGCTGCTGTACTCGTAGGTTGCAAGTGTCTCTGTGTAGTACCCCACACACACAGGCATAGCAACAGACCAACCATGTGTGCACTCGACACAGACAGACTGAAGTGAAGGAAGTTCAACGCAGGTGATGGGACCACCACAGGCTGTGCATCCACATGCATCCGCGGAGCCACCCAGCTATCCAAACAGAAGGAGCAGCCCCATAAGAGGGTAGGGAAATAGCTGTATAGCGCGTGTCTTTAAGCTTCGTCATGCTTGTCACCAGGAATGGCACAGGCTGCCTAGGCTGTGCGCCAACAACAGCTGGCTACCATGCTCCCTTGTAGCAAGGTGGAATGGTCCCTTTCTCAGAGAAAAATCGTGATCGGCACGTCCAGGTATGTGAACATGCACGCCCGCGCATTTGCATTCGCGCACATTTGCTGCATGCTTTCGTTGTCATGAAGCTTCACTGAAACCAGAGTGGAGCCGTGCCTTCCACAGCCTTGTGAGGCCCACGCTGCTCCAAGAATGCAGCATTCGCCCTGCCTGGGACGGGGATCCCTGCATGGCTCTGCAAAGAACGGACAAGCTGTGCCAAACAATGAGGGTTGTGTGACAATCTGTGAGAAAATGTCGGGGACCCCACGAATGCGGCGCTGAGTGTGAGCGTGCAAGAGCCTTTCAAACAAAGGCGTCAAATCGAGACCCCTCACGACACCCATGCTGTGGGTCCAAGGCCCAGGTCACGGCTCTTAAATCTCCACTAAATGCTGAATATTGCTGTGTAGTGCCCTCCTGTGCAGGCATCGCGCCTGAAGTGCACCGGAAGGCGGATCCTGTCATTCGGCCCCAGGATCAGCCACTGGTCCTCCACGAAAACCGCAAGGCCCCAAACAGCGACAGAGTGCAACAACAGCTGCATTCTTGAAACTTCTGTCGCCCTGCATCCGCCCCACAAATTCGTCCTTCCAAACCCATGTAAAGTGCCCAATGCTGTATGCTGCAATTAGTTACTATGAAGAACGATTATATTTTGCCATCTTCCCTAGACATTCAACAAAATGCAAGGATTTTATTCAGAGCGCTCTCCACCCGGAAGCAACCCATAAATGGATGGATTGGCCATCTTGCGGACCCCTTGCATGTGCTATACACCCAGTTGAGTTGAGATGGGCCCCTCCCCGTCGGAAAGCAGAAACCGAAAGAAAGCCGTCCGCATCAGCGAACAAGTGTTTGACAGAGGCGTCCAAGAGGTTCAGAAGTGGGTTCGAAATGTTTCAATCGCATGCTCGGCCGCGCTCCCTCTCCTTTACTCTAGCAGCTCAAGAGAGTTAGAGAGAATTGCAGAGCAGCGAGAACGGTAAAGAACAACAGCGCATGTTGTAGGTCACTAAAAACTATTTCAGATGTGCACTGGCACGGGGTGGAAAGAGTTTGGTTGTGTGTGTGTGAGGGTTTGGCAAAGCGAGAAAGCAGATGGAAGATTGATGAGAAAAAGGACCGTCGTGGATGGACAATGTGTTCTATCTTTCCTTCACTTTTTTTCTGCGATTGTATTTTCTTGTGCGCAAGCAAGACCCGATAAACTTTAAAGTAATGTAATTCTATGGACGCTAATGCTGTTCGCGAATTCGGTACATCTGTAGACGTTTGGTGAACATATTCATACTAATGAGGAGGGAAAAAGAATACCACACCATACATAATCTTCTAGGATTTGTTTTAGAAATCTAAACTAGTTCATTGTTGGGATAATAATAATAAAAATTTAACATTTTATTCCGTATTGGGGTTAAGTACCCTTAAAAATGTAAAATGGTACCCAACTATGACTAAGAAAACATGTAGAACTTACATCAGATTTATTTTGTTTTTTTTCTGAATGGTTCCTGGAGACTTTGATGTGCTCTGGGTATCATTTTGCTTATGTTTACAAGATTTACCTTTTTATTGCTGGACGGGAACTCGCGTCTCACAGAGCCTTTTTTGATGTTTATCATCTTGTTGCCATACACAAACATACGATCATAGACCCGGTGCCCACAACCTTCACTCCCCAACTGTAAACTTGACACCATACCCCCATACCCCCCAAGGGGGCATTTCTGGACGTTTGCCCTCGATACAGCAACAGTGCACAGACAGCTCGGGAGCAGTGCCTCATCGTGATCATCCGCGGCCTGTGCACATGGTGACTTGAAGCTTTACCAATACAGCGACTGGTTAGGCGGCTGTCAGACCTCGTGCTCCTCGGCCAATAAGTTGTCATGAGCCTCATCATCTTCCAGATGGACGACCTGACAACTGAACTAGACAAAAGAAGAGCATGACCTCCAAACTGTCGTTGCAACGTGCACCGTGATTGCAAGCAATGTGCACAACATCACAAACAACGCCTCGGGGAAGACCTCGTCCCACTGTATGGGTCCGCTTCCGCCCTCCGGAGGGCGCTCAACTCGGTCTGCCGCCACGCGGAAGCTGAGCTTCGTGCCCTGACACAGATTTTTGGCCCCAAGTTCAGCAGCCCCCATATTGTGACAAAGCAGAAGATGAATCGCAATAGCAACAATTCTGTCTTGAATATTCAAGGGAATGTGGCTTCGGGAGCTGAGGGTGTGTCGAATCCTTAAGCTTCTAGTCTTGAATATTCTCTCCATGCCGGCCAAAGCCCCAAAGTTAGTAGGTCTCAAGCTGCACATTGCCGAGCACAGACCGAACTGCTTTGCTCCTCCGACGGGGCTTTCTGTACATGGTGCACATCGCACAGTCGCCACACCGCTTCCGGTGAGGCACACCAACCAAAGAGCCCAAATTCAGGGGGAGGTGGAGGCGATAAGCCCGAGCACAGGCAGCAAAGTTCGGGAAGGGGACTTCCCTTTGCAAATGGCTCCTCTCGACATGTTGGAGTCAATCACGGAAGCGAACCTGGAGTTGATGCCACCAATTCTGTAGAAGAGCGGTGCCTTCGATCAGGTTGATGCGGGCTCGGCTCTCCAGCTCCATGCATACAGGTGTCCTTAGCAAGGAGAAAGGGAGAGGTCCAACATGGGCCCCGGGGCTCGTGGTCTTGCCAGCACCGCCGACGTGGAAGCACTCGTTGACGGTCTTCCTCTTTCTACCTCTTCATTGCTTTCTGAAAGCCGATGCTCGTAGCTAAGCAGCTAAGGTCTGAGAACAGTTTCGGTGTGTGCGAGTGGGCGGCCGCCCCTGCCAGAAGAGCTCGGAGATGCCTGGTGGGCGGCCGCAATCGCCCGCAGCACGGCTTTCTGAGTGGTGGCGCGCAAGTGGCCCAAGGCGCTACGACGAGGTTTCTGAAGTTCCTCAAGCACGTCCCTTTGGGCTTCCACAGCAGCACGGATGGCATGAACGAGACCAGTTGCAGATGGCCTTGAAGGCGCCGCAAGCGAGGACGAAGAGGGTTTGGATAGCCGCATTCAGGTGGGGTGGTGAAAGCAGGGAAGGGAATCTAACAGGGCAGCCCTGAGAAAACAGGAGGTCAACACAACCCCTACCCAAGTCCGGAGCCGAAAGCTGAGCCAAGCGACACCCTGAACCAGAACAATGGGCCGTGCACACAAGCCCCCAAGTCCCTGCGTCAACAGCTCCAAAAACTGAGCCCGGAATGCTACGTGCTCGACCTTACCAGTCAACTATGATACTATTTTGCTGTTTTTTTTTGGAGCTTGGAACCTTGCATCAGACACAAAGACAATACTGGTGTTTCAGGGGAATTCACGTCCTTTCAATTCAATGGCTCTTTCTAGTTGGGAATTCTGTTCAACATGCGAATGTCTCGCGAAATGTAAATCGGCAAACCACCACGCTGCCTCATCTGGACCGGCAGATTCTTCCGCCTTTTTGCGTTCACCGCGCCACACCTGGTCTTCGAGTTCAGCCAGCAATTCTACATTGCTACAACGGAGCTACAAGCGCGAGACCAGGTGCCTCTTCCCAGGCATCTGGTCTTTCAGCGCAAGCCCTGGAGAACTTCAAGCGCGTTGCGTACCTTGCTGTCCAGTTCAAACTACAGGGTGCCTGAGTCAAGACTTTGCCACACTCTGCTTCTACCACACGCTGCTTCTACACAGCTGCTGTGGGCACTCTATGATCCTCTAGGAGACTCCCCAGCCAACTTAGGTCCCTTAGGTTCGTAAGTCACCTTGCTGGGTCCAAGATGCATGTTTCCAATGTCGCGCATGCACTCCGCCTTGAGCTCGGAGATGTTCTCCGGCTCTGAGCCAAGAATCTCTCTGGCACGCTCGCACATGACCAAGGCTGAGTGCAGCAAGTATTCCTCACAACGCAAAGCAGACCGTAGCGAGGCATACGTGCCATCATTGCCAATGCCATCCAATACTGTGAAAACTGACAACCTGGCAGGATGGTTTCATCGTTGTTCTTGCCGTCAGGCGTCAGCAGTCCAGAACATGCCATCGTTGATGAAGAAGTCGGACAAGGCACAGCAGTTCCTAGTGCTCAGAAGTGCTGGCACATGCAGTCTTGTCACAAGAACGGACCATACAGTACAACGATGTCTGGCAAGACAATTATGACAATTTCGCAACCACGCCTGATCCAATCCTTGGCATCGAAAGGGTCCCGCTCATTGATCTCTTGGCTGCGCAAGCCAAATGAGTTCGACTGCAGGGAGAAAACGGTTCAGAATAGAAAGGATTCTGCAGCATGCTGTCCGGCTCACACAATTCAAATTACACATGCATCCGAAAGAAGTTGTGTTGCAACAGCTCCCGGGCCTCTAGCACGACACCGGAACACACCACACCGGCATTTGAAAAGGCTACGTTTGGAAACAAGCTCCAAATCAGCTCCAGCCCTCCAAACCTGATTTTTCTAGAATGAAACATGCCTCGAGCTGGCGACTCATGGTTTCGGCACAAAAGTGCGCTGAAAGCGTCGGCTTCTGCAGCGCCCCATATGCTTGGGCCAAGTAGAACCTGGGCAGAGGCTGCTGCAGATTTGGGGTTGGGGGTTTTGGGGGCTTTGGGGCTTTGGGGCTTTGGGTTATACTGGGTTTCAAAGCCCCGATGATGAGCAAAGCATACAGAATAATCCAAAGGACATTGTCATGGTGTAGTTGTTCTCACAGCGCTCCTCGCAGGCGTCTCGCACAGCCTGCGGCCTCCTCGAATACATGACCTGTGCCCTGCGCAAGAAGTTCATTCCTTCCTCGGCAGCTTTGCGTTCAAGCTTGGCACGCAAAGAATCAAACAACAAGCAAAGGGAAGGCACCTGGGCATCCGGGCTTTGTGACCCCCGCGATTGCACCAGAGCATGCCCAGCTGGTTGAAGACATCCTGGCTTACAGCAGAAAGGTCCCACAGCTGCAAGGCCACTTCAATCACTATTTTCGCACGCAACATTCGAGATTTGATGGGGGGGGCCTGGATGAAGCAAAAGGGCTCCGGATCCAGTCGAAGTGTTGACCGCAAGTAGCGTTCCAAAGATCGAATGAAGTACTTCTCAGCCTGTGGAACCTGGGAACAGATTCTTACTCGAACAACATTGCCGCGAAGTAGCTGAATTCATGGCAACTCATGTGCGTGCCTCCTCGCAGAAATAGCAGTTCTTCCCAAGAAACAGCAACAGCCTGCAGGGTGTCATTGTCCTTGCTTACCGATGTGTACTGAGTCTACTGCATCTGCCTAACTACGTGTCAACTCTGAAGATGCCCCAAGCCTGGCAAAGACTTCACGTCCACGGTCCGCCAATTTCACGGAGACCTCCTCTGCAACGAGCGCCTCCAAGTCTTTCACCTCTACACGCGGGCCCAGAACAAAACCCCTCCATGCCTGGGAGAAACGAGAAGATTCGTGAAGTCGTTGGTGGGATCTTGGAAAATACAAGGAAACACGACTCCTAGCATGAAACTCGCCGCAACTAGAAAACCATGAGCCGGGCAACTGCTACTTCCAGGATCTCTCGGGCAAGATACTTGCTCTTGTACGGATTGTCTTCTGGATCCTGCAAATCACGCGGCGCCCATCACATGCACAGAAACTGATTGCCATGGTTGCAACAACCAAGCGACCATCACGCCTCGACGGCCCACAACTCATCATATTTTTTGATGAGCAAATTGAAATCAGCTTCCAGGAATTTCCTGAGCCCCGCACCAAACCCGAAGCTTTGGAATTGGTATCTATCAAACACCGCGCACCAACGAGTTGAGCCAAGTCTCTCCAACCCGTTCATGCTGGCCGCTGTGGTTTTGGCTGCTGATTAACTCCATAAGAGCTGCATTTATGGCCATGTAAAAGAACGCAAAAGCCAAACAACTGCCAAACTTCAAACGTTCTACTGCAGAACTGCTCTGCAGGCGCAAGGTTATGACGATGCTTGCTTGGACTCACGGGCAGTGAAAACTACAAATGCACGGGCGTCACGACTTGGTACGGCAAGTTTTCCTGCTAAACCAGTGTAATACAGCTTGTCTAGGGCCCAAACAGCTGCGACGAGATTCTGGCTCCATATGTAAGCCGTGCACAACCATTCATGACAAATCGGTGCACCGGCAAGAATGTGATTATCCCATCCAAAAAGTTCCTGAGAATATCTCATCATTACACGCAAACATTTTGGTAGTGACTCACTTATAATGATATACTGCCTCTTTCTGTGGGGTGTGCTGGCAATACGATAAACCAAATCGGGTAAGGGATCGAGAAACCAACGATTGCCTATGTGAAAGCCCGTCCAGAGATGCTACTGCTTGCGCTCATTTCATCGGGACACCACGAGCGAATATGATCCATTGCAAGATATCTTCAGATATGTTCATCAACTCATGAGGACAGGCTATTGAACGCAGGAGCATAAGCACTGCTGGCTTTGTGAGCTAAACGCACCCGTTTCGCAATGAAGATCACGAATGACAATTGCAAACACATGATCCTTCTGCTTGACCGTTCCACCTTAAACCGAGGAATCCCCGTTCCAAGGCAATTCAAGCACTCCTCTTCTCACATAGCTGGGCCTACCCGTGCAAAGACATTTGGTCGTTTTCAAAACGATCACCCATCATGTTGTGGCACTGTGGTACGCCCAGCCTCCTAGCCTACGCGATGTGACTCTGCCCACGCGTCCCGAACCGCATTCATTGTTGCCGCAGCACACTTGGCCATGCGTCAACCAATTTTTTCACACACAGCTGCAGCCAGTACACTGAGCAACGCAGCAAGGAGATCACTCGAAGATTACGCGAGACGTGCACTCACAACAACACAATTCTTGCGTGGGAAGAGCAACATCAATTCAACAGTTTCAAAGATCTCGCGTGCTGCCAACAACACAAGCTTGGAACTAAAACGAATTCCAAATCTGGACCAAAGTTGAGCCCGTATTTCGAGCAAAACGTTTTGGACCCCCTGTTATCAATGTTGGAGCGAAGTGACAGCTTGAGTCGCAAACCTGCAACTGCAAGCGAAGCTAACGCCTCTCCACATCAAGACTTGGGCTCATATAATATCATATAATGTAATATGCTGTAATATAATGTAACATAATGTAATATAATCAAATATTACACAAACATAATTTAATATAATGTGATATAATAAAATATAATGTAACATAATGTAACATAATGTAATATAATGTAATATAATGTAATATAATGTAATATAATGTAATATAATGTAATATAATGTAATATAATGTCATATAATGTCATATAATGTCAAATAATGTAATATAATGTAATATAATGTAATATAATGTCATATAATGTCATATTATGTCATATCATGTAATATTATAGAATAGAAGGTAATAAAATGTAATATAATGAAATATAAAGTAATATAATGAAATCCAATATAATATGATATAATATAATACAATATAATATGATTTAACCTGATATAATGTGATATAATAATATATAACATCATATTGTGAAGTCGACCAGCACTGGACTTGCACTAAGCCAATGCAATCACAGCCCGGTCACGCTGTTTTACGACTTCGCGAGTCCAAGCACTTGTGCAGCTACGCCTGAGTGCGTCCGGTCGGACCGCACAGCAACCTAGGAGCTACTGTACGACTCTACCGTGCTCAAAGGCACAAGCTCAGTACTTGAGCCAAAACATTGGCATTGTTACGAATTGCAAAACTACACATGCAAGGGAAAACAACAAGCTGCACTAGCACTAAGCAAGCACTCCATGCATGCTCTGACCTGCTCACATTCGCCCCTCAGCCGAGGCTTCCGGCTCACCAAGAGCTCATAGTGCGTCAAGCCCTTCAGCAACGCGGCAAATGGAGTAGGGTGAGGGTGTCGCGTGCGACTCTGGTAGAGCCCGCACATCATGAGCATTGGCATGCGGCTTGGGCGGCAGCCCGCACTACCGGACGAACGCACGACGACAGCAACCCTTCACGACCCTAAACCACCCCAAGTCGCGAGCTCTCACCTTTGTGCAGACAGGCGAGGCTCCAGAGTACTGGGCAGGTCTTTGTGCTGCTAGTGCAAAGCTATGGTACAAATGGTACACTGTACACTACCGGTCCTAAGCTACGGCTACGGCTACTCACCTATCCGGAACTACCCTACGGGCTACCAGACTCAGCGAGAGCCGCGCACATGGCTTGTGCCGCAGGCAATGCAGCTCACACGCGCTTCGGCGAGCGCATTGCCGCGACCAGGACACGGTCCGCAGCACCTGCAAAAGAGCACCCTCAGCACGAGGGGCCACAGGCAGGGCGGAGGAGAAAGGTGCGGGGAATGCAAAATGGGCAGGTTTCCAACCTGCCGCGGCTTTTCGCCCGCAGTCAAGCAAAAGAAAATGCAAAAGGTTGGCGAAGCAACGTGCCGTGCTGCAACGCCTGCTCTGATAATGCGTGGATGCTTACCACGCCGCGCCGACTGGCCGCAGCCTACTCGATACCCTGTGGAGCAGTGTTGGGGGCACGAGTGGCGTTGCCAGCAACGTTGGAACTACTGGCTCGCTCCAACTGAGGGCGCCTTGCGACCGCCTCATCGAGGGAGAATGCCTCAGCCGACACCCTCTGGAAATCCTCAATGTAGGACTGCGCGACCGGGTGCGTCTTGGGGACCTCAAGCCTAAGCCCTGCCTCCGCATTGGCTTTGCTGCTTGTGGTAAAATTGAGGCTCCCAATCAGCACCACCGCGCCATCAGGCCGCAGTAGGCAAAGGGCCTTGGCATGGTGAAGCCCTTGGATACCGGTACCTACTTTAGCCCCGCGGCCGTCGCGAGCATAGGCGTCGCGCACGGATGAGCCGCAACCCACCTTCACCTCGGCGCCTGCAGCCGCCAAGCGTTTCAACGCTTGCCACTGCAGTTTGGTGCGGTGGCATTGTCCCATGTCGGCGACAATCCGAACGCCTGCGCCCTTGCTAAGCGACGCTTCGATTGCCTCGATGCAGGATGGGCAATCTAAGCTGTACGCCCGGATGTAGATCACATCCTCTGCTGCTCCAGACCCAAGCAGCGTTTGGGCGGCCTGAACGTATGGCCCGCCCGCAAGGAATTCCGCTTCTTTGACTGGAGAACTCCTAGCGGGGACTGGGCCCTTGTTCCTCCGGCTGGGTGTGCGCGCCACAGTGGCAGTGGCGGCACGTTGCACGAAGCCGGACTGTGCGTGGGCTGCGCTCGCTCCATCTGCTGGGGCCGCGGCCAGGTCACGACCCGCGAGCCCCTGAAAGCAGGAGAGCCCGCGGCTCTTGGCCGCAAGTTGGGAGAAACATCCTTCACTGTTCCCCAAACCCAACACAACCTTACCCTTAGCCAGGGCTTCGGAGGCGGTACTCCGAATGGAGTCTGTGAGCGCAGGACCCGCGCCTCGCTGGGCCGCGTGCAAAAACCCTAGGGATCGAGCGGTGTCCATTGCGGCATCGCAATGCCCGCAACGTCCCTCTGCTAGGTAAGCACGACAGCCACAGGCAGCTGTCTCCTCCTTGAGGTGCACCCAAACTTTATGGGTCACCCCTTTCTTAGTGCTCGCGACCTCAAACGTCGCTTCAGAGCCAAGGAGTTGAGACAGCCGCGCCTCAGGGGCCGCGGTGTTGCCATGTCGCAGATGCGCAATGCGATTGGCAACGGCACGACTCACGTACCACAGAACAGCACTGCACAAGATCACTACTACCAGAGTGATGGCTGTTCCGGCGACCCACACGGTCCGCCTGGCCCCATGACCGATTTCCTCGACAACGTCGGCCGAAATCGTTGCAACCGCGTGCATGGAGTCCTCGACAACATGCACAGCCCCGCGGTGCAACTGCAAGGCAATCGGCGCCGACGCTGCAGCCGCCAGGCCCCACCAGCCGTTGATGTTCCCGTTGAGGGCGTGCATCAACTGATTGAGGAGCCCGCGACCCAGGAAAAAGGGGGTCCGCGGCGGAAGCGGAACACTTGGCGGCGGCCGGGCCGACCCGCACGGGAAGGCTGGGACCCAGCTTGTGCTTGGGCGGGGTTGGAGCGCGGCAACTATGCCCGCGGCGTAAGCGCCCCAGGCGTACCTGCCCCTCCCCTTGGGCTTGCCCTTGGCATCGGACTTGCCTCTGCCCTTCGGCTTGCCCTGGCCCTTGCCACGGGCGTCTGCCCAAGCACTCCAAGGGTCGCGGCCCTTGCCGTACGTCGCCTCTTCGCGACGTCGCTTGCCGCCCCTCTTCTTGTGTTTGTTTCTAAGAAGAGGTTGGATGGTTTCTTGGTCCATCGCACGATTGGCCAGAAGGATCTCGTACTCCAGCTCGTCCTGGCTGCTTTCGGAGCCCGAGTCCCTCTCTTCGCCACGCCGCGGATCAGGGATCCCGCGAGAGACGACCTCTGCCAAACGGAGAGGGGTGCTGCAGCGAAAGCACAGCTGCCTGAATGAAAGGTTCCATTCATAGCAGTTAGGGCACTGCCACCCTGCTATGCGGAGCGCCTCGCTGATGTGATCATCGCGCTCCGCCTTCTCCGCCTGGCGCCGCTCTCGCTTCTTGGCGCGCTCGGCCGCCTGCGCCTCCTCGGCCGCCTGGAGGGCTTCAGCGAGTTCCTCATCGCTGAGAAGCCTCGCGGCATCTGCCCGCGCTTGTTGTTCTTCAAGCTCTTCGGCAGAAAACCTCCGCCTCCATTGCTCTGGCGCGGTTTGAGGATCTACCTCCCACCACCCGATGTCGATCCCGTTGATCCATCGGCCGTCGCACGGGGCACCCGCATTCGGGCCGCCCGCGTGCGTGGTGAGGCACT